CAATCAATATTTTTTAATAGAACAGAATAGCTGAAGAAATGGATCGGCTCCCCCCTACCCACACTGTATTTTAAATATTTCTCTTTCTTATAAGTGATGAGTGATGATATAGTTATAGGATATAAAATTATATGTAGTTGTAAGCTATACTGGTAGTCCTCAACTTATGACAAAAATTAAGCCCAACATTTTTGTTGCTAAGCAAGACAGTTGTTAAGTGAGTTGCACCCCATTTTATGACCATTTTACCATAAATGTTAAGCAAATCACTGTGGTTGTGAAGTAAATCATGCAGTTGTTATGTGAATCTGGCTTCTCCTGTTGATGTTGTTGTTAGAAGTCTCTAGAAAGGTGTACAAATAGTGATAAGATTACCTCAGGACACTGCAACTGTCATAAATACATGCCAGTTGCCAAGCACCTGAGTTTTGATCATGTGACTATGGGGTGGTGTTGCAATCTAAATGTGAAAACTGGTCATAAATCAGTTTTTTCAGTGCCAGTGTAACTTTGAAGGATCACTAAACAAATGATCGCTACAATCCCAACAACAATCTTTTAAGGTTGGCTTGTATTATTAGCTCAGCCAACTCTCTCTAGGAATTGAATCAGAGGAGAAGCTAAAAGATAATAGCTTGCCCTCAACCATGGGCTTATAAAGGAGTTGTGTTTTTAATCAAAGACTTCCTTGTTCATATATGGCCTTATAATTACAATGCAACACTGTTTTCCAGGAGAACATTTTTCTCATTATTGTTAAAGCTATTCACATTCAATTTGTGTTTACTTATAGGATTCAAGAGGACTCTATTGTTATTCTTTATTAGAAAAAAATTAATAAACTATCACATTGCTTGTTTATTTCATTGAAATGAAATGAAACTGAGGCTAATTAGTCAGTAGTGTTGTATGCAGGGAAGGGAATTATTAAAACCTAAGATAAAATTTAATTGGAGAAGAAATTACTGATACAGAAGGATACCATCTCAATTATTTAATATGCCTTAATTAGAGGTTCTAATAAAAGCAAGCATGTAAAAAGCCTGGTAGTAGTTAATATGTGGTCAGGGACATCTAAGTAAAGGTTTTCAAGAATCATGTAGATTAAAACCATTTTTAAATTAAGAATGTTGGGTGTCCTATATCAATTCTTACCAGTAAGAAACATAAGTCATTGCCATATACTAAATTCAGGGGTGGGTTTCTACCAGTTCTTTCCACCTCTGTAGAACCAGTAGCTCTGAAGAACAGCAGACATAGAGCTGGTTCTATGTCTGCTGATGTTTTTGCCCACCCGTCCACCTGGGGTCTTACCTGATCTTTATTTCCTGATTTTTCAACTTCAGCTGCCGAACGAGGTACAGCTGCAGTTAAAAAAGCAGGAAAAGAGGGTTGTTTCAAAGGCTGCTTCTCTGCACACAGCGTGCTGATGACGATTTACAGGCGCACAGCTCGCAGCGTGCAGGGAAGCACATCATAAATCACCAAACCTCGTAAATCCCGAACCGGTAGTTAAACCTGTCATATCCCACCCCTGACTAAATTTCCTGTTGTTGTTGGTTAAATCATAAATCACTGTTATTGGTAGTTCTTGGACCATTAATAGTGATGTCAAAGAGCAATCTCATCCCTCCATGAAGATTTAAAGCCATTTAAGGTATAACTACAATAGCACATTTACCTGTGCTCTAGTGAAAAGTGCAACTATTTAATTAGTGTTCCTAAAATATCATTTCATTGTAAAACCTACTGCTATGCCATTAAAATAGTAACCTTCTGTAATCAAAATATTTCAATGTAAGGCAGTGGTTTCCACAAGAGGATTAAAAACTGCAAAGACAGTCTTTGCAGCGGGATGAGACAAGATTCACCCCTTTTTGTAGGTGTATCAATATTGCATGAACTACAAAGGAGTAGAGCTTCACTTGCACTTCTGTGACTGTCATCTTGCCTCTTTTGATACCTCCACTCCCCATGAATGCCACTGACATAGGTTCAGTACGTAAAAAGACAGTACAATGTAGTCATTATGCTTTTGTTTGAAAGAAAATATTCAGATATTTGGAGCTGGCAGCAGTATAAACTGGAAAATTAAAAAAATACAAAATGCATTCTAATCTGATATCTCAGAAAGGTAGAGTCAACAGGACATTGGGTTTTTTTTTTAATGGCAACATTCAGATATAGCAGAAGGCTTTTGTAGCAGCTGGAGTTTTTTTAAGGTTGATCAAAGAAAGACGTATCTTAAGTATTGCTCAGTTCTTTGCACCAAAGCAACATACAATGTTTATGTCATGGATTAGCCTGGATAGATATAGTAGATATTAATGCAAGAAAAAACAAATGCACAAGTATAGAATAGGTGGCACTAAGGTCAACAGTAGTAAGCATGAGAGGGGTGTAGGAGTCCTAGTGGACAATCACTTAAGTATGAGGCAGCAGTGTGTTGCGGCTGCCCAAAAAGCCAATACAGTCCTGGCCTGCATCAACAGAGGGATTAAGTATCAAGCTCACATAAAGTGTTAGTACCACTTTATACTGCACTAGTAAGGCCACACTTGTGTACAATACAAAAAAGATGTTGAGAATCTAGAAAGAGTGCAGAGAAGAGCAACAAACATGATTAGGGGACTGGAGGCTAAAACATATGATGAACTGGATCTGTCTAAGGATGAGAAGGACTAGGAGTGGCATGATAGCATCTTCCAATATCTGAGAGACTGTTACAGAGGAGAGGGAGTCAACCTATTCTGCAAAGCACCTGAGGGTGCAGGACAAGAAGTAACAGATAGAAATTTATCAAAGAGAGTTACAACCTAGAATTAAAGTGAAATTTTCTTGTCAGTGGGAACAATTAATCAGTGGAACATCATGCCTCCAGAACTTGTGGGTGCTCCATCAGTGGAGGTTTTAAAGAAGAGATTGGATAACCATTTGTCTGGAATCTTATAGTGATGATGTATCCTGCCTGAACAGGGAGTTAGACTAGAAGACCTCCAAGGTCCCATCCAATTCTGTTATTCTGTTATTCTAGAAGTTTGTGAATGACATATGGCCATGATAGTGAACCAATGGCACATGTGCCCACACGAAGCCATGTCGCCTGGCACATGCGGCCTTGCCTGTTTGGCTTCAGGGTTTCTGGCGTGCATGTCTGCGCGATGATCAGCTGTTTTTTGTGCACGCGGCAATACTGAAAACCAGTGTGCACATGCACGCTGGTTAGCTGATTGTCGGATGCACATGCATGCCAGAACCCGTAAGTTTGGCTTTTTCAAAGTGCAATCCCTTCACGTGCAGCAGTGCTGAAAGCCTGCGCATGTGTGCCAGCCAGCTGATCATTGGGTGCATATGTTCAGGCCTGTTTTTGGCACTGCTGCATGTGCAAAAGACAGCTGATCATCGTGTGCGCAAAAGATAGCTCATCATCGTGTGCACATGTGTGCCAGAAACCCAGAAGACAAAGAGGCAAGGCCACACATGCTGGGCAACATGGCTCCGTGTGTCACTTTGGGCACGCATGTCATAGGTTCGCCATCATGATTATATAATATTTATCAATGTGTTTGGGAGTTAATACCCCCTTGAGGGAATTCAATCAATATTATGGAATGTTTAAACTATCTTAAAGAGTTTTCACAAACAGAAATTTGACAAATAGTATTAAGTTCTATGAAAGAATAAAAGCTCATTCAGGCCCAAGAGACCAAAGAATCTATCAACTATTGCTGATAGTATAGGAAAAAGTAAATGGAGTCAGGGTGTCAGGCAGGATAGCCTATTATTGGTTGATATGCTGATAAGAGATACTGGGGAGGAAGCAGAAAATTTCTAAGTATGTCCAAAAAGTTCTTTCATTATTTTTAACATTAGCTGAATTAATATTATACATTGTTTCATTTGTTCTATCCTTTCTTTGTCTTTAGTTTAACTTTTGGGAAGGTATTCATTTGCAAGTTGTACATGTGCATCTGTGTGAAAGTTTAAAAGAAGAATAGAGCGACCTCTGAAATAAGACACCTAGATCCTATTCCTAGATAAATATTAAAGAATATCAACAAAAAACAAGATGTTTGAAACCTTTGAAGACATCTTCAAGATGAAATTAAATCAGAATTAAATCAGGTGAATACATTTAAATGGAAAGCATTTCCCCCAATTGAACACACACACACAGAATAAACAGAGATACTGCAACATAGCTGAAAGTCAACAAATTCCTTTTATTGGAACAAAGAGAAAAGATCTTGTCAGGTAAGGATATCTGCTTTTAGTTCCAGAAACTCTTTTCAATGCTTATTAACCAAGGTTTGCTTACTGTCTGTAATGAAGCCTGAACATCAACATTTAATGTTTTGAGAGGTTTGTTCTAAATTCAGCACAACCGTAGTGTGTGTTTTTACTGCATTTGGAACTTCTATTTTTGTTTTGTTTTGAGTTATTTCACTAATGTTAAATTGTTTTCCTTTTCAGAATTATAATTACATTGTTGTACATAATCCTATGCTTTCTTTCTTGAAAATAAGTTATGCTTATTTTTCAGTAAGCATATTCAACAGGGCCTATTCTTCAGTAAGTCAATTATTTCAGCCTTAGACTGCAATCTTGCAATTTTAATTGCCATTTTAATAGGATTGTTTTTCCAATAATCCTATTAAATTCAATGCAACTTTCCTGTGAATTGCCACGAAGATCGTCCAATTAGTATTTTCTTTACAAATTCTGAATTCTACTATTTTCAGTTATACAATCAGATTGACACTTTAAGATATTTATCTTTTTCTTTCTATTCTTTTTTTTCTTATTTTCTTTTTCTCTCTTACATTTATGTATGTGTTGTTGGTCTATTTTAATTGTAAAATAAATAAAGTGTATTTAAAAAAAAAAGATATTTAGGAATGTCTGTCTTTTACAAAATAAACAATATAGTATTTTCATAAATTTCAGTGTAATTATTATTTTTGTGCCCAACAGCAAATGCAGTAACTACAATGAAGTTAATGTAAAAACAGAAAGCTCAGACTCACAAATTAAACAACATCCTTAGTTTTCGTCCACAACCATCATTGAAATATAGTCCTTGTAGCGAACAGTATTTGTTTCTGGATCTACTGCTGCTGAAAGCATTTCTTCCATTTCTTCCTGTGTAAAAGGCTCACCTGAAGCCAAAAAACAACAATTGGCTGTAGTGTTTCTTACTACATAAACCTTCTAAATTATTGGTATTTTAGGGTTTTCAAACATAAATCTGAATTTTAGAAAAAAAAACCTTTGTTACTCAGAATCCTATACTGATACTACCCGTTTTATATAACATAGTAAAGGTAGAAGTTCCCCTCCCACATATGTGCTAGTCATTTCCGGCTCTAGGGGGCAGTGTTCATCTCCGTTACAAAGCTGAAGAGCCAGCACTGTCCAAAGATGTCTCTGTGGTCATGTGGCCAGCATGACTAAACACTGAAAGCGCACAGAACGCAGTTAACCTTCCCACCAAAGTGGTCCCTATTTTTCTACTTGCATTTTTACAATGCTTTTGAACTGCTAGGTTGGCAGAAGCTGGGACAAGTAATGGAAGCTCACAGAAGCTGGGACAAGTAATGGGAGCTCACTCTGTTACACGGTGCTAGGGATTCAAATTGCCAAACTGCCGACCTTTCTGATCAACAAGCTCAGCGTCTTAGCCACTCAGCCACTGCTTCCTTTTTATATAACATAATTAAATTCAAATTTAAAATGTTTAACATGTAACATATGATTATGAAAAATTCCAGCAAAGTATTAGATGTTCTAGAATCTAGAATGTCTGCAAAAACATTCTACCAAAATACTTTCATTTAAAATTGTCTACAAAATATTAGCTATATCATAATATGTTGTAGCATATTCTTGCTTCTGTTTTCTTTTGCCAAATTGTTAATCATTATTTACTCAAAATGCTAATTTCCACACCAGCTTAATTTATTTTTTAAAGTTTCAGTGGCATTTCACCTTTGCTGAAAGTTCAGTAATGGATGAAATTTGCTTTGTTATTAATTAATCTGGCAAAGTGGCAATGGGGAGACACTGTAAAAGAGTTGATGAAATCCTCTGAAGAGAAGGAAAGAAATCTAAGGGACAGCCAGTCTTGAACGTGGGCTATCTAGCTGACAAGTTTAATGTCTTTAATCACTGAGCCATTGAGCTCCCTTTACCAGGAGATACAACGGAAAGCAAAGAATTGGAGAAGTTGAGATCTGAAAATCAAAGTTGAATGATTATGGCATAAACCAGCAGTGGTGGATCTTGGATGGCACTTAGAAAATCTAGGCATTGACAAAATTCACCTGTCAATTACAAATAGCCATACTGCTTAGATGTGGACATGTATTATGCCAATACATTATGACATCCTAGGTACTTGGGAAGAATTTGATGAAAATGAAGGCCAACACTAACTAAAGAACTGGCAGCTGGGATTTCACATTTTTATGTATATAATTTTCCTTTTTCTTTTTTATATATTATGTGCTTGTAATTATTCTCCTAAATTCAATGATTTTATACAACTTGAAATCCATTGGCATTTATGGTTTTCTTTTTTTACATTAATACAGGTTTTTTTTGGGTAAAGCACACAAATTTGAACCAATGTAGAACTTACTGACTATGCCTCTGGATTGATCACTGATCATTATGAGGTTGGATTTTATTCTTCAGATAGGGATGGGAATGTTTTTGTGGCCAGGAGCAATATACATTTGTAGAATTCCAGGTACTTCCACAAGATTGTGGATAGTATCATATTCAACCTCCATGTTGCCTTTCTTCCATTCTAAAGCCTATGGTTGCTAAGCATATCTTCATAAAGGTAGTCATCTTACGACAGGTGGCTTAGCAAGTGTTTAAAGTTCCAAACCACCTGAAAAGGGTGATTTATTATGACCTGGTTCAAGGTTCCAACAGGCCCCCTTCAGAGTTACATGACTGAACTTTAGGCACTCAACAACACAGCAGCTGTTGGCAGCAATTGTGTTTTACGATAGTTTTGCTGAAAATGGCACTTTCTGTTTTTGGCAAAACTATGTCCATGGCGAACCCTTGTTTGCTTAATGACTGCAGATTTGCTTAACAACTTAACAAGCAGTTGTTAAAACAATTTTCCCACAAAAACAACTGCCAGAAAAAAATGTCATACAGTTGTTTTTAAAGCCATTACGACATATAACTGTGATGGGCAGACTCCATTACAGTTGTATGTTGAGGACAACCTGTATTCTATGTCACAGAGATACACTCAAATTCACAAGCAGAGTAGAACTATTTTTTCCTAAGCAAATAAAATTAGTTTTAGTAAATATTTTGCTAAAGTTTTACCTTCTTCCGTCATATATTTTACCAAATCATCTTTAGTAAGATGTCCAGATTTATTCTGATCCAAAACCTATAAAATGGAACACATTGTAAATTTTATTCTTATTGCCTTGAAGTTTAAGAAATTTTTCCATATATAGAATGATACAAACCTCAAAAGCACGTAAAAGAACATCTTCTGGAATAGGTCGGTATCTGAAATAATACAGTTAATAAAATAGTTATTGATAGTATGTGTGTCTAAGATTTGATTGTTACTTTGAAACACCCTTACAATTCCTTCTACCATAAGTTTTAACACTTAAAACTTTAAAAAGCTGGCAAATTGTTTGTAGAATCATTTTTTACTTATTTTATTTCTATCCTGCTGCAATCTAGATCAATTCCTGATAGTTTACCTAACTGGTAATTTATATGAGATTTACCTGAGCAAAGTAAAATATTCACCATAAAAAAGAATAAAACAAAAAATCAAAAATCAAACTAAAAACTCCAAGTAATCCACAAGAACAATTTCAATAAATGCCTACTTTATAAAATAAATATTGTGAATCTTGTGGTAATCTGACAAGGCATTTCTATAAAAGTGATGAAACTATTTGCCATATATAATATAGCAGATAACTTCTGCAATAGATGATCTATGACCTCCTGAAGTTATTGAAGTATATCTCTCAGTATCTACATTACTGGGAATACTGCATGGTATTGCTGTTAATGGTTCAACAATGTATGGAGGACCACAGATTTCTCTCCTAACTGAAGGGATTGCCATGTATTTAGAACAAAGCTACAGCCAACTTAACATAATACTAACAGTATAATAAGTTCAAACCCATTTCATGATTGCCAAACATATTTTAAATCTATTTTATCACTGAGAAGTTTGTTCTTTAAATTGGATTTGTGTAAAATAAAAATCTTTCATATATGCATAACCAAATTTCACAAACTGAAATATCTATTTCTTTTATTACCTTCTTTCCATTAACACTCTAGTCATCATAGGAAGAAATTTTTCCAAACGAATAAACCCAGTTGGTTCTTCTTCTTCTACCTAATTTTTTAAAAAGCATATCATAAATGATGATGATTCAGTGGAAAATGAACCAGAAACTAATCTGAAATTACACCATCTGAAATTAACTTGTAATATATGAAATAGAAAAAAAACCAATCTTGTTCTCTATAGGAATGCTAAGAATCATCCATTATTTAATATTGAGGTGAGTGATATCTTCCATATAACCTGACAGAAAAAAAGATTTGCCAAATCAAACTCCATCCTTCTACTTCCTCATCAATTAAGCATGACTGCGTTTTTCTCGTCCACACATTCAATATGCAAAATGTTACACATATATGCAAAGAACATTATTTCTAGCTGCACAGATATGATCATGACATGAGTTTTGTTCCATACAGCATCAACCATGTGTGTTACGTATGCAGTAACTGTGACAGGGATCTTGGCGTCTTAGTGGACCATCAGCTAAATATGAGCCAGCAGTGTGCAGCAACCGCCAAAAAAGCTAATGCAATCCTAAATTGTATTAACAGAGGGATACAATCAAGATCAAGGGAGGTACTAATACCACTCTATAAAGTCTAAGACCACACCTAGAGTACTGCATCCAGTTTTGTTCACCACATTATAAAAAGATGTTGAGACTCTAGAAAAAGTACAGAGAAGAGCAACCAGGATGATTAGGGGACTGGAGACTAAAACATACGAAGAATGGTTACAGGAACTGGGCTTGGCTAGTCTAGTAAACAGAAGGACCAGGGGAGACATGATAGCAATCTTCCAATATTTGAGGGGCTGCCACAGGGAGGAAGGGGTCAAGCTATTTTCTAAAGCTCCTGTAGACCAGACAAGGAATAATGGATGGAAACTGAACAAGGAGAGATTTAACCTGTAAATAAGGAGAAACTTTCTGACAGTGAGAACCATCAACCAATGGAACAGCTTGCCCTCGGAAGTTGTGGGAGCGCCATCACTTGAGATTTTCAAGAAGAGATTGGACTGCCATTTGTCAGAAATGGTGTAGGGTCTCCCGCTTGGGCAGGGGGTTGGACTAGATGACCTACAATGTCCCTTCCAACTCTAGCTGTTATCTGTTATCTGTGTTTGGGTACATACACACTTTCTCTTGAGATCAGGCAACAAAATTTCATTTTTAATGTAAGCCAATTAAAAAAGTTATCTGTTATCCATCTTATCAGTGCAGCAGGGCGGTTGGTTTATGAAAGCTTGAGTCAGCTGTTGCACAATCAGGAGTAGCAAAATGCTGAGGCTGTCATTAGAGATTCAAACTAAATGTATTCTGATATGTATAATTACAGATTTGCAACCTCCATCAAAAAAGTTACCCCAGGTTGTATTATCTCTCTGTATCACGTCTGTTGTTTTACTGCACATAACACACATTGCATTACATTTCCCCCAGCTCTACATTCATTCTTGGTCTCTCCCTTTAAAAGCAAAAGTTGCAATTGTTTTTAAAAGATTGTGAATGGAAATTTAAATACAGAGATTGGTGTTGTTGCTATGCAATGAGATAATGGAAGCAGATAAAAGTAAAGGTTAAGTCTCATATGGTCTCATGAAGACATGATTTGGGAGTGTGATAGCTAATTTGCAAATCAGCAGTAATGGCCAATTAAAGGTGGGGAAGAAAGAAAATAACGTTTTCTAGATTGGTTGAAAGAATGTAAGATAGCATTCTTTCTTTCATCTAGTATATTTAGTTTCTTGGGCTGAAAGGGCTGACAGATAGAAAAGTAGCTTCTCCAGATGGTTTTTTTAAAATTATGGTTTTAGGATCTTCTAGTTATCTACTTTATTATTACAGCCATACATGGATAAGAAAAAGAATGTTGTAAGAGTACATTTATGCAACAATGTCCTCTAGTGGTAAAATTATTTTTATGCAAAATATTTCTCCATTAAAGCAAAGCAAAACATAAACAAAAATACTATGATTTTTAGAGTAACATTTATTAATGAAGTGCTATATAGGTAGTCCTCGACTTACAACCACAATTGAGCCCAAAATTTATGTTGCTAAGTGACAAATTTGTTAAGTGAGTGTTTCCCCATTTTATGACCTTGCTTGCCACAATTATTAAGTGAATTACCATAGTAGTTAAATTAGCAACACCGCTGTTAAGTGAATTTGGCTTCTCCATTGACTTGGCTGGCCAGAAGGTCACAAAAGGTAATCATATGATCTTGAGACACAGCAACGGTCATAAATATGAGCCAATTACCAAGAATCTGAATTTTGATCACATGATCTTGGGGATGCTGCAAAGGTCATAACTGTGAAAAACGTCATATAAGTCACATTTTTCAGTGCTGTTATTAACTTTGAATGGTCACTAAATGAACTATTGTAAGTCAAGGACTACCTGTATATGGGGACAAATGAGGACAAATAATTGCAGCTATCACATTTATATGTAGTTCTGCTTACTGATTGCCTGATTTAGCAACCATTTGAATGTATGATGGTATAAAAAAACAGCTTTGCAATCACTCCTCACATTAATGAGGCAATTCCTGGCAGGAACCTCTGGTTACATGAATGCCATTTGCATGGTTCCCAATCTGCTTGTGACAAGCAGAGTTAATAGAGAATGCGGAAGTAAAATCATAGGTCATGATCGTGTGATGTTACACTTAATGACCATAGTGACTCGCCTAATGACTGAATAGGAAATGACATAAGTCTATCACAGTCACATGATTTTCCATTTGACAAATGTGGTGCTTAGCAATGGAGTTGCTGGTCCCAATTATGGTTGTTAAGTGAGGACTGCGTATCTCACATACTCTGGAAGTCAGGAGGAGATTCAAGAGAGGGAGGGAGTGTTCTTGTCCATCCTTTCAGGTCATAAAACAAGAAGACTGGAAAAAAAATACTGTACTGAAAATCAATAGCATGCAAACAGGAAATATCTACTTTCTGAAACCATCAAATGTGTTATGTAGATGATGGACTACTGGAATTATAAACTAACCATGCATGATTGGATTATGTTTTAACAAGGTATGGTAAAATGTGTTTGGTGAAAACATGGAGAATTTGATTGGGAAAGCTTTAAGAGGAATCCTTCAGGGATAGAAACAAATCTCCTGAAATATAGATCTCAGAATAAAAACTTGTACAATTCAGAAAGTGAAAGAGGTCTATTAAAAACACTGTGAAAATGTAAAAAAAACACAACCTTTTAACAAAGTACATGGCCTCCAGTAACTGTACCCTTATGCTCAGAGTAAGAAAAGTAAACAAGCTGAAACATTATAGTTTTCATCTATTTTCACTTGCTCATACAAACAGAAAATATGAAGTTTTCCAAAACCAAATTGCAAATGTTTCAAAGAGACATTAAATCCGAGGGGACTTTTATGCCATCTGTTGGGAGACAGACTTTGCCATGAATGATTCCCCCCCCACCCCCCCACATCATATTTCTGATTTTTCTTGCAGACAATTTTCTCTTTTAGAGGATGGAAAAGGGTTTTAAAGCAGCTATCTTAACTTGATACTAACCAATATTGAAAATTCCAGACTATAATAAAATAGGGTGGCCTACATCTATTTACCTATACCTTCACTCTTCCGGCTTAGTAGTACACTAGCAGTCCCTTCTATATGAATTTAATATAATTTTAGCCTCTAACTATTATTATAGGACCTCTAGCTATTATTATAAGATAAGCAAATACTTCATTTGCTCAGTGAAATTCCTCCACGTTGCATTTCTAATACTTATTGATTTAGGAAAAGAGATCAGATTTACTCTCAACATCTTTAAGTAACAGAACTTTAAAATTATGTCACTACCTCTGCAAGCATATCATGGAGATCCGCCTCATTGGGACAACAGCCTAATGACCTAATGATAGTGCCAATCTCTCTGAAAAAGGAGAACATCTGTTATTAAATATACAAGTAATACAAATCTCTTAATTCTGATTTGTTTTATTCTGTTGCCTCCCCATCAAGTATGCCTAGTCCATAAGTTCATAACCACTGAAGCAATAGATAAAGGGAATATAATTGCATGTACCCTAAATTCCAGATCTTTAGTGAAGTAGGGTGGCTTATAGATTTAGTAAAATGTATAACAATTGCATTGTTTTTTCAGATATACCAGTACTAACAAAGAAGTGTCAGTTATTCTTTCTGCCTCCAAATACAGTTAGTTCACAGGACCTGAGCGAAAGAATGTGATGGATCTTTAAGGGCTTAGTGACAAAACAAACATTACAATATATAATAGTATTATCAATTCATGCTTTCAAACATAAACTGAATGTCTACTTAATTGAAACATAGTTCTGCAATATTGAATTTAAATTCCTGTCATGACAAATTATGAAGAAGTCCTGAAATTATTCACTTTCTAAATGCATTTACACTAACTGGCCTACTCTAGTTTTATCACATGATTGCAATAGTGTGTACATCTGGAAAATCAGTGGAGAGGACTTTTAACAAAACAGAGCTTTCCCAAAGAGGAAGCAGTAAATCCTATCAGAGATAGGTCCAGATTAAAAGATTGCATGTTGAGAGGTTGCACAGTCCTGAGCAAGAGGGGGGAAAGGAGAAGAGATCAAAGTAGCCACAACCTATAATTTTTTTTAGTATATATCTAGTAGGTTAGAAGGTTACAGCTTTAATTTGGTAAGATTCTGTCCATTATTAAGTAAATAAAGAACTGGACTCAGCTGGATTTCATTGTGTCAATTAGGCTGGGGCCTGACAATCACCTACCCCAAATTTAGATCACTACAGAATAACTCAATATTGGTATTTATGGTTGTAAGCTAGCCTTCCCCTACTTTGGTACCTCCAGACATGCAAATTTCAACTCCTAGAATTCTCAGTAATGACCACCTCAGAAAATTCTTTGAGTAAAATCCATGCATCCAGGGGACAGCAGGTTGGGGAAGACAGGATTAAGCTGCTATCACCTTTCCTGTTGAATGGAAAGGGAGCACTGAAATTCACTCATTTGCCAGGAAATGTGAGTCTACAAATAGTGGCCCAAATACATGGTAAGTCACACAAAAAAAGAATTTATATTTAAAATACAAAAGAAAAAAGGTACAGTCAGTAATTGGCTTTCAAAAATACAAACAGTCCAGCACTAAACTGGTTAACTTATTTTCTTAATAAACCCCAGCAAAATCTCCAGCTGAGCAATAAGCTATGCCACATTGAATAGTGGTTAAGAAAAAAGAGGGTTGTGGCAATAAAACAAACAAAACAAAAAAAGGCAAAGGTGTCATAAGAAACCAACTGTAGAAAGAAAAGCTCAACAGGAATCTGGTAACTATTGTAAGCAAACCAAACTAGAACTTATCCTCTGTCAATCTTTGTCAAACTCAAATTTTCACACTTCAGGTTTTTCCTCCATAACAAAAGAACAGAACTCTACTCCCCTTCTCCATTTGCCTTTTATATGGTAAACACAGATGTTTCCCAGTCTCTGATTTGTGTGTAACATTAACTTCTTCCCTTATGCATTCAGCCAAACCATTTTGATCTCAGATTCCTGATTTCTGGGAAGTTTCCATTCTGCAACACAGACATTCAACCACATTGGGACTAACTTAATCTAAAACCAATCAAAATGTTGCACATTTCTCTTTAAAATAATTGTCTTTATTAACCCACACCACTTTATCACTAGGGCTGCTAATTCTTAACAGATGAAATTTTCCAAACCTGACATCCACAGTTTTATTACACTCATGGTCAAAAACTTCAAAGGCTTCTGTGATCTTCTTTTCTATTTCTGTTATTGCAGATTCTATAAAGCAAGGAATTAAAAGTCAATCATAGTATACTTTTTGTCAACATTAGCAGTAAAGTGTTCATTAGAAGCAGCATAGCAAACATTTTGAGCTTTCCAGAGTTAGCTTGGATGTTAGGCATAATATAGTTGGATAAATAAGTGGGATGTAATCAATTGCCTTCATTCTTTTTTTCACTGTCAGTTTGAGTGTCACTGTCCCAATTTTCTCTTTTTCATCAGTTCTGGATGTGAATGTCATCCCTCAATCTTGGTGTGCTAGGATTAAATCTGACATTGCATTCATTAATCATATGCTGAATGCATTAAAAGCACCCTTTGATGGAAATAGAGGATGTACCAGAATAAACTGAATACTCTGAGAATAGTTTGGCATTAAAGAAGAAGTAAGATAATGTGTGATATCTCCCAGATTGTTTAGGATGTTTATGGATAAAGGAACAGTTGTGGTGATGCTAGAGGTGTATAGATTGGGAATGTAAGTAAGTATGCATATACTCATATAGGCTGATAATCATTGAGTACCTAAATTCCAATAGAACATAAGTTACTCAGGGTTGAACTATGGAACTCAGGTACCCTCTAAGCTTGGTTGTTTATTTGCAGATATTTCATTACCCAACTAGGTAATATCACCCGTATGTATAAATAGGGGTTTGCTCACTGTTTATATACCATAGTTTGCCCTGTCAGTGTTGCTGGGTGCATATTTTTCTCCTTGGTAGTTCCCTGATTAGGACTTTGTTTTTTGCTTGATTGTTTATCTGGTATTAATCCCTGCTTATCCCTGCTGGAGAGGATGTGTTCCGGTCTTTTTATTTCCTTCTTAGCATTAGCATTTATGTTGTCTCATTTTTGCTATACTATTTTTGTTTTTGTTTTATTTTGCTATACCATTTCTAACGTATTTGTGATGTAGTGCAAAAAGTTGTTTACCCTGAAAAGGAAAAGCATGACCTGCCTGTGTGTATATGTATGTGTTTCTGCATACACAATGTTTTAAATTAAACTGCTGGCACAGAGATTCCTAAAATATATTTACAATTGTGAACCCCACCATGACTATACTCCATATTGTGTATTTAGGGTAGAGTGGGGAACCTGTCTGATATTTATAATATATTGGATGGATAGAGAATTGATCCACATTTAGATTAAGCCCAGGTAGATCAATTGGACAAGTAAATTGTATCAAAAACTATTTTATTTCACTGAGCCTAGAACCAATGTAGTAGATTTTTTCCTCAAAGAAACGAACTATTGTAGGGTCACACCAAACAGGTAAAATTTCTAGATACAGCCTATTGTATTCTAAAGCAGTTTATCAAGGAACTTCATAGAGCAGAAGTGGTAGGATTAAGACTATAAATTACTTCTAGACTACTGTTTAATTTACAGAACCGATTAGAAACCATGACTATAATATTAAATGACAGTATCGTTGGAAGAAATGTCCATCTGGGTTCAGTTCCAAGTGGGGAGAAAGACACTTGAAACATGGAGACTGCTTGGAAGGACAGGACCATATGGTTTGAGGTCCTGGGCAAAAATGAGCACATGGGTGAGAGAGATTTATACCCTCTTTTGGGCTTTGAACTTGCTTCCTGTTCCTGTGAAAGAAATGTATTCTGATTAGTTACCAGACTCCCATGGGGCCATGCAGGGGTAACTTTGTAGGTTGTCTTGAGCCCCAAGCTTGGTTGAATCGTGCTGGTGATGTAATGAAGCGACTTTGGGCAATTCCGATTATGGCTTAATGGCTTTGTCCTGGTTTGGATCTGAGTGAGGGCTAATCCTATCATGGCCTGAGGGTGAAGGTCTTTTGTGTTGTAGATAAGCTGGCGCCAAAATATCTGCTGGGGCTGAGTTTCTGTGTCTCTTAAGATTTCTATTTCTTTTAGGGAAAATATTCTGCCTTTTTAATATTTCCTAGAATATTTCATTCTTCTAGGAGAGGGGTGGGTGCTAACTTTCTACAGTATATTACAGAGGAGAAGATAATTGCTAAGGAAATCCAACAAAGTTATATTTCCTATAATTAGTGGACAACCTAAAAAGTGTATATGTGTGTATACCCACACACCTACATAAATATGTATGTATGTATGTATGTATGTATATGTGTATACACACACACATACACACACACACACACACACACACACACACACGGAGATCAAAACTCTGTAGAATATCTGGGGTTTATTAAAAACCACTATTTTAAATACGTATGAATACTGAATATGAACAAATGTAGTGCGAATCAGGAGGGGATAAGTTACACCAGTATTGTAAATAGTGAGATTTCCTATACAACAGTAAGCTGTTCTACAATATTTTTGTTCCCTAATTCTTCACAAGCAAATAGAAGCTGACGTGATTATTTTTCTGCTGACTTTTAAATATTGAGAATATTACCAATTAGTGATCCCACCAGTTGACCAATAGGTGAATGCAAGGAACCTTATTCAGTCATTGCTTTATACTGTTGGTCCTAGAGTAACAAAAATCCTCTTACCTACACCAAAAAGAAATAAACAATAATCTGCAGTAGTTCAGACCTGACTGCGTTTGTCACTTATGACATAGAGAAGTATAATGAAATATGGGACTCATTTATACATAATATAGTAGGTTTTTTCCTAAACAAAAAGCTTGTCATATAAATGTATTGGAAATATATACATATTTGAATATTTGCATTAGACAAGTATATATAGAATTGTATATCTTTATTATAATGACATATTATGTTTTTGTTCTTTATTGCATTTCTTCATTCTTTTTGTTAAAGCATTTTTATGTATTCCTTTTTGTCTTCTCTTTGACAACATATCTACTTCCACCATTATTATCATTTTGTTAATAATTAGAAAACAATTTTTAAAAAGTATTAGGAACAATGCAGTTAGTTTTAAGGGTAAGGAAGAATAATAGCTCTCCTAAGCCTAGAAGACCAGGAGAGGCAAAAGTTCCTGGCAATGGGATAATTAGATAGCTCTAAATGTTTGCAAACCTAGTGATTCAAAGAGAAAGCACAGCTTTCCTATAGTTTCAAAGAGACAAGCACCAAATCAACTCACATTGTGAGAGCATTAGTATTACTAAAAAGAAGGGTTTTTTAGGTTTCTAAAACCTGCTAAAAACAAATGTGATGCAAAGAGAGATTTTTGAATAACATAACAAAATTAAATTAAACTGACAATAAAACCATAAGAAGGAAATCTGCCAGGAAGTCATTGAGTAAGGAAATTAAAGAAATAACAAAGAGAATAAGGAGGTTGCAGAAAAATAGAATAAATTCTTTATTATTTTTTCCTCTTATTGTATACTATTATTATGACAGACTTAGTGGAATACGTGTATGTGTGTTAGTATAACTACACACATAGAGAGGTGCATACGAAAGAAAATAAATGATATATGATAACATAAGAAGTCCCATAGGACTCTTTAATCTTGCAATGCCTTAGATAGATTAACATTCCCTAAAGAGTAATTATTAGTAATATGTTGACTGTTATTGTGCAATATATTAAGGCACTGAGTTCAACATCTCAAGAAAAGGACATATTCTTACTATACTAGTTTGGGGTTATCAAGAATAAAACATGCAAGGGCATGCATTATCTTTTGGGGACAAGGATATTACTGGTAGTCTTTAAGTCATAACCATTTGTTTAGTGACAGTTTGAAATTACAACAGCACTGAAAAAAGTGACATGGCTGGTTTTTACACTTACAACTGTAGAAAGTTAGCACCCACCCATCTCCTAGAATAATGACATATTTTAAAAATAGTAAAAAGGCAGAATATTATATTTCCCTGGATGAGAAATGGAGAAACATGCTCTTGGAAAGCAGCCCCCACCTTTCTTAATAGCCCTCAGCAGATGTCAGCACTTTAGAGATAAAGAGATAGCTAGCTCTATTCATAAGCAAATACCCTCACCCAAGATCCAACAAAGGTAGGATTAACCCTCAGCCACAATAGGAATTGCCCAAAGCCCCTTCATTGCATCATCTCAGTTGCACCACCCCAAGCAGTTCAAACTTCAACCAAACTTAACTCAAACTCCTAGGATTTGTACATGGCCCCATGGGAGTCTAACAACAGCCAATAGAATACATGTTCTGGAACAGGATGTTCAAGTGCAAAACCCAAATAACACCCACCACACACATTCTCAACTCAATGTGGTCAGCTGCACCAGAACTACAAGCATGTGGTTCTGTTTATCAATAAATGGACCTTCTTTCCAATCAGCCTCTAGCCCCCATTTTGTCTTCAGTGCCTTTCTCCCGGCTTGGAACTGAACAAGATGCATATTTCTTCCAATATAACCACTGTAACATTCCCATAGTCCCATGATTAAAATCCGGGTGCTTGGCAACTGGCATGTATTTATAACATTCACACTGTCCTGGGATTATGTGATCACCAATTATAACCCTTTCAGCTAGTTTCAGACAAGCAAAGTCAATGGAAGCCAGATTCGCTTAACTGTGGCAAAAAGGTCATAAAATGGGGCACAACTCACTTCACAGCTATCTTGCTTAGCAACCTAAGTTTTGAGCTCAGTTGTGGTCATAAGTTGTGGACTACCTATAGTTTATACATTATCGGTATATTAGAAACATATTTTGATTTTAGCAAACAATATGATAGTGTTCTATCATATTTTAGTAGACAAGATATATGATGTTCCCTAGGTAATGCACTTAAAAAGAGTTATAACAAAAATAGCAAAGCCTTCTGTCTTATTATCTGAATCAGGAGTGTGATGTGGCTCTTTATAAAGGTTCAGTATTAGGTTATTGTAACAGGAGCATAGTATCCAGTGTATATGCAGGTAGTCCTCGACTTATGACCACAATTGAACCCAACATTTCTGTTGTTAAGTGAGACATTTATTAAGTGACTTTTGCCCCATTTTAGGACCTTTCTTGCCACAGTTGTTAAGTGAATCACTGTAGCTGATAGGTTAGTAATTCAGTTAAGTGAATCAGGCTTCCCCATTGACTTTGCTTATCAAAAAGTTGCAAAAGATAATCAAATGAGCTTGAGATACAGCAATGGTCATAAGCACGAATCAGTTACCAAGCATCTGAATGTTGATCACATGGTTTTCGGGAATTCTACAAAGGTTGTAATTGTAAAAAATGGCCATAAGTCACTTTTTCAGTGCCATTGTTATAACTTTGAACAATCCTAAATGAAGTGTGATAAGTCGAGGACTACCTGTACTTTAGACCAGGGGTCACCAACCTTTCGGACCTCAGGGACCACTAAATTCATAATTTTAAATCCCGTGGACCACTAATATGATCTGCCTAATGAATGACTAGGTGGGTTTGGCTAGGTGGTCATGTGAGTGTGTGGGCATGGCCAACTTGATGTCACTACTCGCCCATCTCCTCTCAGCCACTCCTCGCTGGCCCGCCTGGGCTTTTTAGGGCCCCAACAGGAAGCAGTTGTTGGAGCTAAGCAGCCACCAGAAAGAGTTGGCAAAACAGTTGGCTCAGTTCAAATTGGATCTGACTGAGAAGGAGGATCAGCAGAAGCACCTTACTGAGGACAATAGGCTTTCCAAGCAGAGGGAAGACCTGCAGAAGTGCAAGGCCTGGTACCTATGTCTGGAGGCTCAGCAGGCTGAGATGGTCAGCCAGTTCCAGGCCACGATGCAATCCCACTGGAACAAGGCGCTCTTCGGCACCAGCGGCACTTCCCTCCAGCCTTCGCCTAAAGGCCCACACTAGGAGGCTGAAGCAGACCCCAAGTGGGAATTTCTACCCCCCTCTGACCTGCACAAAAAAATCCCAAAGGGGGAGACTCTCTGCAGCAACACAAAAATTTATTGCATGTATCAGTCCAGGGGCCGTAGTTCGATTTATGCAATATAAAAAATGCAAATAATTTTTCTGCAGATCACCAACATTTTCTTGCAGACCACCAGATGATGACAGCTGTTTTGGACTAAGGCATTCAACATGTCTCTGAAAAATCATGTCTTGTTTATGCTTCATTTTAGTAAGGACATTGTTAAGCTGGAGGTCATCCACAAGAAAATGACAAAAGTGATGAAGAATCAAGATACTGTATTTTATGAGGGATAGAATAAAGAGCTATAATTACAATTTTAAATGACTCTCAGAATTTAATTTCTTTTGTTATCATTTATCTTTCTATTAGTAGTGTTCACTAAGAAAATAGGATATTCTTTGCATAAATTCATAAGTTGTGAAAGTTCTCTGCGTGGTCCAGTAGTCACAATATTTCTTCTCAAGACAATTTTTTTCCTTTTTAATACATATAAATTATACAGATAAAGAGTTATCCCTTTCATTTAAACAAATGTCTTTTATATATTGCTACTCTTCATAATGAATATTTGGGGTAGGTGTATGAAGTCACTGGCTAGTGGCAAACATTTGAAAAAGATATTTAAGATTTATAAATTTTCTAAACGTTTCAACAAACTTATAACTTGTAAACACATTCCTATCCTATAATTTACAAATACTATGGTCAACATTTTAAAGACATGTCTGGGTTTGTATACTTTAAATGTTGCATTTGTGAATAAATCTGTTAAATCATTCTTTTCTGATACATTTTAAGTAATTACACATTTCAAATGTTATCACTTTCTTTATCCAATTTGTTTGGATTTGGGAGAAAAAAATACACCTGCTATATTTATCTCAGTTGCCCTAAGAACGTTAAAGCACTGCCTCTGCAAAATAAGCCTACCCATTATTCACATAAACATGGTTCACTAAAATATCACATTTTATTGTTTTCATGACACATTGAAGCATAAAATATAAAATATTAAAACATTTTACATTAAAATATAATTAGTCTCTTTGACTCAATATAGTCTACAGAACACAGTCACAGTAACAAGAACAATTTCTGATTCTTTAAAGATGAGTGATTGTGAATCACACATGATTTTTAATAACAGTCTAGGTGCCAATTTTTGGGGGGTGGGTGTGTAATGCCATATTTTATGTATCCATCTTAGAAAGGCTGAATTAATATAGTTGCTCTGGACTATCTTGAGGGCAGCCCTCTCAGTTCTCAAAGTAAGCAAACCAAATAATCAATGACTGCTTTGAAATAGGAACAAAGCCTATATTAAGTTGGAGAAGGCACGCATTGCTAAAATTCTGTTATCGTTGATAACGAAAAGGGGTTTTGAAATTCAGAATTTTCTCTCTAGCCCCGCAAGAGATGGGAGCAGCATGGCTACGTTTCGTCCCGAGGATTCGTGTGAGGAAAGAAGGGAAAGAAAACTGGGACTGTATTGAGAGACTGAGGAAAGTCCTACTGAACGTAAATAAACTTGAAGATGGGGCGGTAGGCCAGGAAAAAGATGTAGCCTAACTCTCCTACAATTAAAAAAAGCATTTTTAAAAAAATTGTAGGAGATAGTGGGGTGGAGATACAAAGTATAGAGGAAATGGTGGAGCTGCTCACTAATCCCCAGTCCTTACCCGCAGCGGTTACTTCACGCTCCTCCGTCGCCATGGCGGCCTCTTAGCGGTCGCCATGGAGACTTTCGACACGGGCCGGGTCCCAGCTAGAGTTTCTCTCGCCTTTCGTGGTCACCGCCCAGCCGTCTCTGCCTCCCTCCGGACCTTCAAGTTGAGGCGCGCTTTAATTGCAGGTAAAGTGTCCCGAGCGCTCCTGGATTTTGCCAGCAGCGAACTTGTTCCCAATATGCTAAAAGCGCTTTTTAAAAGCGCCTCTCAGAAATGTGTGGCTTGGTTTTTAACAAATAACGCATATTACCATGTCGCCGAAAGAAGAGACCATATATGACCTAAGTCTGCCTCAGAGCCACACACAGCATTACAATTTGGAAATTAGGAATCTTCTTATGAAGAGCATCTGGTGGAAAATACTTACTAAAAACAGGAACTTGCTGGGCAAATGATACTAGATGGAAAGGACTTAAACCTTGATTTGATAAACCTTATAAATGTTAAACCTGCATACTTTACTCTGGATAATTTTTTACTGATTTAATTCTTTTTAAAATCATTAATTTTTAAAGAATAAATGCTTCCAAGATAAGTGGGTCTTCTGTTTTGACACACAGTATCTTTTAATCTAGAGTTTGGGGTAAGTTTTGGTATGGTGCCAAACAATTGTTTAATCATAGTTTATTCAGTATACTACAATTGGCTGAGACATTAAGCTATGAACCACTCTTTTATAAAACAGCTGTCTTCATAAATCATATCCTTTGTGTTTTATGTGAACTGACTGAGTTTTAGGGCTGAAAATTATTTTAAATATGCTGCTGCAGCTGTGTACTTGCAACTCATATTAGGAATATGAGAATATTGGAAAAAAAGTGATGTGCATTTACATGCATGTAATATTTTTCTTTTGAATCATAAACTTTTGGAAAAAGTGGCAAGCAAATGCATTTTAAGCCAATTTGTGTACTTTAAGGCTAGCAATTGCTTCCCCAAAACTCCAGCTGTGTTGCTTCATTGGGGAGGGAGGGCTGTTTTTGGGAAGGATGAGTAAAAAACACATCAAGAATATCAATCCTAGAAAAGTTATTGCTTTTTTGCCCACCTAAAGCAAGCAGGCACTTAAAATGGACAGTGGCAATTTAGGAAGATTTTAAAAGCAGAATATCTGCACCCACTTTTTGGCCCTTCCATGGGGGCCCGAAAACTTGGCTTTGCCAACTGGTTTGGGGCTCCCATGGGAGCATGTCATATTGGAGGTGGTTAGTGAACCGAGAGAAGATTCTATCTCCACCCCATGTGTATATATCTTGCTCTCTTCTTTGCCATCTTTGTTAATTTTAATGTTAATATTTACTATCTTAATAAATGTTTTATCTTTTTGTTTTTACTTTACTGTAAGCCAGCTAGATTCACCTCCAGCCAAAATGCATGGCATATAAATTAAATAAATAAATAAATACATAGATATCATTTTATTGTAGTGACAATGGTAAAATATTTATTTATTTATTTGATTTGATTTGATTTGCCAATTGTTTACAAGATAATAAGTATAAGTGTATACATAGTTGTGAATACATGAAATGGGTACATATAAGAAAAATAAAAGAATAAGAGAAACAATAGGACAGGGACGGTAGGCACGTTGGTGCGCTTATGCACGCCCCCTACAGACCTCTTAGGAAAGAGAAGATAATAAACTAATCCTGTATTTTACCAAGAAAGCCACATGGATTGGATGGACATGTGAATATTGGTGACATAGTGCCAGATGATGAGAATCTCTGATTAAATGGCACTCAACATGTTACTGGGTAAGAACTGAAAATGGTGTTTATGAAGTAGCTAGGTTAAAGTCTTTGGGGTGTCTAGTTGCTATGCAGAAAAAGAATTCAAAGTTATAAAATGGAATTACAGCATGAACATGGAACTTGGAAACACTCAATGTAGTGAAGCATGAAATGAAATTAATACATATTGACATCTTTGGCATAAGCTAACTGAAATGGAGTAGAATTGGACACTTCTTGTCAGAAAATCATGTTAATTACTCAGAACATGAAAAATAAAGAAGGAATGGTGTTGCTTTCAGGGTCAGGAAAGATATAGGAAATAAAGTACTTGGGCAGAATCTAGTCAATGCCCAAATAATATCAATCGGATTTTGCAGTCAATCCTTCAGTATGACAATGATTCAAGTTTATGTTCCTATCACTCATGTAAAAGAATAGATGGTTGATTAATTTTATGGTGAAGTTCAGTTTGAAATCCAACAGAACATGAAAGTAGGATATGTAAAGCAGGAGAGTGACTTAACCAATTTCTGCCAATCCAATAGTTTACTGCTAAACAGTCTTATGAGAACTGTTTAATTCAATGCCTATATACAATGAGTAAGAACTGCATATAAAATACCTATACAATACAATTATATATAAAATACCTATACATGGACATTACCAGATAGAGTACACAGAAATAAGATTGTTACAAGTTATTGTTACAAGAAAGTGGTAGACATCAGTTATATTGACAAAGACATGGTCAGGGGGTTTCTATGAAACAGAATCACAGATTCCTCATGGGTAAGTCCCAAATTTAAAGATGAAGAAAGCCAACCAATTTTCATGATATGATCTTAAGCATATATCCACATGTTAAACAGAACATCAGGAATTGTTTTGAATTCCTTAACTTCATTGACAGGGAATCTGAGGAACCATGGAGGGAAATCATAGAAGCTGTTAAGAATAAATATGAAAAGAGGCACCCAGAGATCAAGAAACAGAAGAAGTAAAACTGGATGTCAGAACAAAATGATGGAAATTGTTAAAAAGAGATGTCAAAATCAAAAAAGACAAAGATCTAAGGAAATAATTTAACAAAGGATTTCAGATAGCTGATAGAAGAGATGACAAGGAACATTACATCTGTAAAGACAATAAAGATGGAAACAGACATGAAAAAGCAAGGCAAGTCTAATGGAAATACAATAAAAACATATTCAAAAAAAAGCAAGGCAAGTCTTCAAAAGATCTCCAAACTTGTTGGAAGTTTGAACCTCAAATAGCTGCACTAAATGAATACATATTTGATTTCAATATGAATAAACAAAGATGGGAGGGGTATAATGAAATAGAGATATTAGTATCCAAGATATCTTAGAACAATGGTCTCCAACCTTTCTGGCTCCAGCAGCAGCAGCAAAGGAGGGAGATGGTTTTGTGTGCACAACCTACCTCCTGAACATTTGCAAATGAAGCTTCAGATGCTCGCCCGCTGCTTGAACAGCCTGGTTCCCAACAGGCCATAAACCGATACTGGTCTCCAGTCCAGTAGAAGATATTTGCTACTTATAAGCACCTCTGGTACTAGAAAATGAAATTAGATAGCACTCTGTTCGTTACCAAGTAATCTAGTTCCTATTTACCATAATTCAATTGTGACTAGTGAAATTTTAATGCTTAATATATTTGCATATTTCAATGAAAATTGGTTTGCATGGTTCATTGTGAGTGATGCATTTTTGTGTAATTCTATTCTTGTTTAATCTTTAATCTGGAGTCTATGTTCAGTTTTCAGTTTCAGAAGTAAATCAACTCATTTGAGCTGTGGTGCTGGAAAAGGTTCCTGATATTCCTTGGACAGCAGAAGTGACTAGCAAGCAAGTACTGGACAACGCCAGACATGCCACTTGAAGGCAAAAATTACAAAACTGCATCTTAGTTATTTTGGCCATGTCATGTGGGGGGAAAAGCAATTATGCTCAGAAGACTTATTAGTAAAAGGAAACCAGGCTGCCAAAGAACACAATGGGTGGACACCATCAAAGTGGACACCAGCCAGCGCATAGAACAACTCAAAGAAGTAGTGCAAGATTGGAAAACATGGAGAGACCTGGTTCACAGAATTGTCAAGAGTCTGACACAGCCGAATGGATAATATCATTATGTTCGGTTTTACTTATTCTACAGCAATTACATATACAATATTGTAGAGCTGATAGAGAAGTATGCTTTTTCACTAATAGGAAGCATTGCAAGAAACATCCTTAAGACCCAATTAACAATAAAAAAATATAACAAAATGCTTGTTTTCCTCCTAAATGGCAAAATTGCAATTCTCAGCTATCATTTATTCAAGGATTTAGAAAATCTTGTCCCTTAATTTTTAATATCTCTTTATCTTCTAGATCTGATATTTTACGCCTGAACTTCAGGCTGATGAACCTCAGTCCTTGTAAAAAATGAAAATCTATCCATTGTTGTATGAATGGATTTCAGTTCTTTCCTTATAACTGCTCCATGTCTGCTCCAAAATATTGCATTAATAAGGAAAACACAATAAATTGAAGAATAGAGGTATCAGTGAAAGTGTGGTGGCAGCCAATAGAAAGAAATGAGGGAAAAAATAGGCTAACAGATAGGAAAGGCAACTGGGGATAACAGTGGAGGAAAAAATTCAAGGGGCAGTGTATTTCAGAGAAATTGAGAAATGTGATACAATGAATAGGTGACCCAGAAAGAAAATGTTGGTGAATGTGTAGTGAAAATGGAGTATTAAAGATCTGATGTGGCCTCAGTGTAGAGTAAAAGGCTTTTAAAATGGATGTGCACCCACACCTGAGAATTACAGTATAATAAAATGCAGTATAATAATACAGTATAATAAAATTACGGTATAATAAAATATAATAAAGTGGAGATGATGATACTAGATAGGTCTGTCTAAGAAGTATCTACAGTAGGTATATTGGGCTAGATCTCCATGGTGCATTTCAATTCAGTGATTGATTGCTTGGAAGAGTTTTGAGAATATATCCAGGTATCAAGAAGATCAAGGGAAAATTAATCATATTTCTGAAAAAGAGATCTTCAGATGGACCCAAAGATAATGACAGACCTAAATAAATAAAGTCTAGCAAGGAACATGTTAGCAGAGAAATAGCATTTTTACAGGGGATTCTTCAAGGTTGACTGTGTTGATTCTTTAGTAAATATATTTGAAAGATAAGGGATACTACGTAATAGAAACTTTTAGGAAGATAATTTAGTAACTTCATGTTAATTCCATGAACAAAACAAACTAGAAAAGTACAGGATGAAAATGCTTAAGAGTTCTCAGAACAGTAAATATCTCGATTACTTTCCATATATACCAGTATTCAAAGTCTTGGCACTATCTCAAGCATGGGTAGAATTAAGGCACAATTTCTGCAGTACAAAATACTCTTTGTATATCATCTGGTGAAATCGACATGCTTAAGAGCAATTCAATTTTTAGAAAAGTTGGAACAATAATTAATAGAGAGAAATTAGTTCTATTATGTTCAGATAATAAGATTACCACTGAAATAGAGCAGAGAAAATAGAAAAAGGCTTCTGCCCATATAAATAAAAGAAGTTTCTTACTGTTATTGAGATTCTAATAGCTCATCTTTATTGCAATATGAATCTTGAGATTCAGACTGATATTTTAAACAGTTTTTGTAAATGGGACACATACCATAACACAATGCAAATGTTTTGTGGTTGGAAAACAAGAATTTCTTCAGGAAAAATTGGTAACCAAGAATATTCAGGCAAAAAGATTTATTGCAATTAGAGAAAAAGGACTATGAAAAATATTCCTAGACATGTGGTACCCAAGTCTAACTCAGCTCTCCTATTACATTCATTTAATTCCAGGGTTATTTACTTAGACACAATGAAACTGATGGAGTGAGGAAAGAGTTTACTGAAGATGTGTGCATCAGGAAACAGACTAAAGCATAACTGCTTGTTCTATATGCTGTTCTGGAATATCAGTAAACCAAAAGCAGCCTAATACCAGCTGATAGCAAGGCTTCCTTTGAGCACATGCATGGAAAACCAAAGTGAGTCTTGATTGATTACTAAATTATCAATTTGATCATTTGGGTATAAAAAAAATAAAGCAAGAACTAAGCAGACCATAATGTATATATTGCTCCAGAGTTTTCTGGATAAAATGTATTATCTAAACCCTTTCCAGTAAGAGCTCAGGCCTAGATATGGGATGGAAATGGCATTGGATGCACTTTTGATGAATTCTGGCGGGAGCGAGAGGCGGGTAGCACATCCATCCTTGCTCTATTTGACCTCTTAGCAGCCTTCTATACCATCAACCATGATATCTTTCTGGACCGGCTTTGGTTGTCCTGGTTCATTTCCTTCCTCTGTGGCCACTCTCAGTTGGTGTTGATAAGAAGCAAGAGGTCTAGTCCTCAGGGTTCTGCAGGACTCAGTACTCTGTTCACTTCTGGAAGTCTATAGAGATTCTCAGTCATCCAGGTCATGGTTGTCCCAAAGGTGCTTTTTCAGGAGGCAACTGGGCTTTGTTTTTTCTCTGAAGACGTTTTGCTTCTCATCCAAGAAGCTTCTTCAGCTCTGACTAGATGGTGGGGAATGGAAGGATTTATATACCTTGCAGATAGCTGGCCGTTTGCATCCTTTTAGAGGGTTGTTGAAGCACTTGGAGGTATATAAGAAAGTCCAGTTGCCTCCTGAAAAAGAACCTTTGGAACTCTTCACTTCTGTTTAACATCTACATGAAGCCAATGGGTGAGATCATCCACCATCATGGGTGACTTAGATATCAATATACTGATGACACCCAGCTGTATATCTCGGCCCATGGTGAGCCAAGTGATGCCATGTCCTCCCTCTTGCAGTGCTTGGAGGCTGTTAAGGGCTGGATTAGAAGCAATGGGCTGAAATTGAATCCTGGCCAGAACAAGTGGCTCTAGGTTTTGGATTCTTTGGTCCATGGAGAATTGCCACCTTTGGTCTTAAATGAGATGGCACTGTCCCAAACAGACCCACTGTGTAACCTGAGGGTTCTTCTGGACTCAACACTCCTACTGAAGGAACAGGTGGCAATCGTGGCCAGGAGGGCTTTTATGCAACTGCATGTTGTGCACCACTAACTCCATTTCCTGGACCAACAATCCTTGTTCAGTCCCTGACATTCTAGTCACCTACCATCTTGACTTTCTGAGGATGAATGACTTTGCTCCAGGCTTTTCAAAGTATTCTGCTTCAGCATGAGCAGCTGCTGGCTCCAGGCTTTTCAAAGTATTCTGCTTCAGCATGAGCAGCTGCTGTTTCATTACCGCTATTTTGGACTTTTAAAACTACTAATCCATGAGCCTCCAGGTGTTGGTATCTTGGGTCTTTACATGGTGATAGCTAATGCCCTGGCCCAGTTGTCTTAAATGCCAGTGACTTGACCTGCTTTCAGTTGCCAGTGCTGTAGGCCTTTGGCAAGGATGCAGTTGACATCTTCTGAAATTCTCTGTTCTACTGTCATCCTCACTGTTCAGTATACACTGAGACTGACAGTTTGTGACTGCATCTTCCTTCAGTTGTCTTTTTTCTGCTGAGCAATTTATTCATCTAGGTGATTTTGAAGGCCAGGACATTTAAGGTAAAAGGGGAAGGAAGGACACTCATATTTCTACCATTGTGTATCTTTCACTCTATAATACCTGTGATAGAACATGTATTGCCAATTAAAGCAGAATTATTTTAAGAATTTCTGATTTTTTAAAAATTGATACTGTATTTGTTAAGTATCTCTGAAGATAACTTGTATAAAATTGGAAAGCGTATAGAGATGAGGAATGAGAAAGCAGAAAAAATACTTTTTAATGTAATTTTGATTTACTTTGACAAAATCAGAGATACCTTTTTAAGCAACTCTTGTTTTCATAACTTAATTTGTAATCATGTTCTTGTATATTATCTAAAAGATATATGATTGGGTAATATTTGAAAATGAAATGTTTGCCATAAGTGATAGAAATGAACTGTCTGTTTTTCTCATATATTTTGGTTTCTAAACAGTAGAATAGTGCACTTAAATCTAGTCTAATTTGTAAGGCAAATTAAAAGCATGTAGTTGTCACCTCTTGTCCACATATTGTTAGCACAGTAGGAATCTGTAATATGTGACTGGTAAGTTGAAATATTAATATAACACATGAAAAAGCTGATGGCTAGCTAATATTCCAGAAAAGAAGAGCATCCTAGTAGTGAATTGTTGTTAGCTCTATACAGGCCTTATGTTTGAGATTGGCTGACTCTATTTGCCTAATATATAATTTAAAGTTTTATTCTTTGACTTTTGTTAAAGAACGTGCAAAACTTGCTTTTGTATAAAGCCCAACAAATGCAGAGAGCAATTAAAGATTACAGAAATAAAAAAAAATTGTGCTGCACAACTGAGTGGTATACAACAGACTATTGAATATGAATGCAAAGTGCATTCTTTAAAATAAAAGCATAGATTGGGAGTATATGCAAGGTATATGTAAGGTATTATAATTTGGTATCCTTGGGCTGTGATGGACAGTCTTTGGAATCTGCAGATCTTCAAAGATATCAGTGTAGCCATCTTAACTGCTACTATTCCATACTTGAGGGCATTCAACCATCACTGAAGGGCTGACAGTGGAAACTAAACAATTTTTAATAAAATGGCTTGGACAAAGGTAGAATTCAGGCTGCTTTTCTTTTCAGTGTATGTGCACTTGTATAGCTTCTGAGTTGCTACAATACACGGCAACCAATGCAAACCTTGGCCCCATTATATTTTATTATATTTCCATTTTCCATGTAGATGCTTTTTAATGTAGTCATAAACAATAACTTTCCTGTAAAATGTGCAACTAGTGCCAAAAATAATCTAAAACCTACAGTTTGCTAGGGAAAAAAAAACAGCAATATTTTATATCTAATTCAATCTGGTATGTTTTCTGGGTGAAGGTATAGGGCCCAACCTCCAGTGAGCTATCCCGTAATCTGGGACATTGGCCCGTAATTCAGGGAACAGTTAAAGAAAAAAAAATTTCGCTGCGCCCCATGTTTACCGTAGTACTGTTTACCGCCAAAGAAGACAGCTAAGGCAGTGTGGCAAGGAGGGCGAGGCAATATAAGAGGCGCGCGACGGGGGCGGGTTGAGCGTAGCGTTACGTGCTCGAGCCCGTGAGTCGCGCTCCTCGTTCCTGCCTCGCGAGCCTCGGTGAAAGGATTTGGCGCCAGGCGGATCTCTTTCTGCAGCTGCCGCAGCCATACGAGCCAGCCGCCTACACCCAGACCGCATCGAGTCCCTGCCGTCGCCGCTGCCGCCATGAGCTGCTCGCCGGTGAACGTGAAAAAGTTGAAGGTGTCCGAGCTCAAGGAGGAGCTGAAGAAGCGGCGCCTTTCCGACAAGGGCCTCAAGGCCGAGCTCATGGAACGGCTCCAAGCCGCGGTCGACCAAGAGGAGGCCGGTGGAGGGGGCTTAGCCAGCACCGAGCCCGGCAATGGCAACATCGAGGAGTTGGGGGAAGCCGCTCCGGGCAGCGGAGGTGCCCAGGAGCAGTTGCTGATGGCTTCGGGAGGCGGAGGGCCCGACCAGGCCGCGGCCTGCGACGACGATGAGGAGGCGGAGTTCGGCGGCTGCCAGGGAGAGGGAGAGGGAGAGGAGGAGGAGGAAGAAAGCATGGAGTTGGGCGAAGAAAACGGCGAGGGGGTGGCCGCTGGTGATGAGGAGGCGGCCGACGATCTAGAAGACGACGAGAACGGCGACGACCAAGGCTTTCAAGAGGGGGAAGATGAGGAGGAAGACGCCGCCGGCGGCGCGTCCACCACTAGCAGCGGGAACGCCAACGGCCATGGCGCCGTGGGAAAAGAATTGTCTGGCAAGGGCGCTGCCGCTCCGGAGGCCTCGGCTTCGACTCCTGCATCCTCGGGCCAGCCCGCCATCAAGCAGCTTTCGCCCACTCGGCAGCTTTCACCCACTCGGCAGCTCTCGCCCACCCGGCAGCCGCAGCAGCAGCAGCAAAAGCCCGGAGGGCCCGCTCGCCCTGCGGGTGAGTACTTCGCGGAGGCCAGATGGGCGGAGGCGGTTGGTAGCTTCTTCATGGGGTTGGGGCGCGCCGCCATCTTTTTTTTTTTTCGGCGGCCGCGGCAACTTGTCCTTCGGGGATTTCCAGGCCTCGCGCGCCGCGTGTTTCGGAGGGGGAGGGGCGCTTGCGCCATTTCGTGAGCAACGAGGAAGGGGCGCGGGGGAAGGGCGGCCCAGAGGAGCCGCTGGGGCGCGCTATAGAACGCGCGCGGGGGGGGGGGAGCGTTTGTGCGCTTTTGCGTCACATCCGCTCGCGAGGCGCTGAGGCCTCGAGTTCAAACGCGAAATACGATGGAGGCGGGCGAGTCCTTTTCTTCCGCTGTAGGCCTCTCGCAGCGGCATATTTCTTTGGGTGAGAGTTACCAGGTCTTTTTGGAGCCGCCTTCAAATTTAGTGAGCGGAAATGATGCCCGAAGCCGCGGAATGGCCGGCTAGTTCTGGAAACGAAACGGAAAGCGGTGGATGGATATAGCGATGGGTTGTTGCTTAGTCAGCTAGGGCGTATCATTTCCAGAGCAAGATTTTTGTCCCTTTGCATTCCTACTATATTGTTTCTAATGTACTTTATTTTTTCCTCCAAAAATCCCAAGGGGAAACTAAATCTGAACAGAAACCTGGTGAGAAAAAAAGGGGAGTGAAAAGACCACGGGAAGACCATGGACGGGGCTATTTTGAGTACATTGAAGAAAACAAATATAGCAGGTAATAAGTGGCATTTAATTTTTTTTTAATGAAATACTTAAAATATTTTCCGATAGTTGAATTCAAGTGCCTTTTTTAATTGATCAGGGCCAAATCACCACAGCCACCTGTTGAAGAAGAGGATGAACACTTTGATGACACAGTGGTTTGTCTTGATACTTGTAAGTAAAAAAGTGTGCTGGTCTCTTAAAAGATACTTCTTTGGTAAGACTTTGAGGATCTACTTACGATTATTATCACACTGGAGGTACAATTTATGCTTTTCTTTGAATTGTTCAATGACCCTTACTATTATAATTTATCAAGATTGTTTAGAGATGTGCAAATGATGAAAAGCCAAATGAGAAAGTGGTGCAAGTATATAGGTACAGATTGAGTGTATCTTGTACTTATGCCTAACTTTTAAAATTAACCATGTGCAGGCATCTATATTAGTCTCTGAATTATAATTTCTCCCTCAACTTTGGGTTGATACACAGCTCTAATATATAGTTCATCACTCCTACATTCTGAAGTTTGAGTTAATGGGAATTATTCAATGGTACATGGATGTAGGATTGTGGTTGTAATACTCATAAGCTGGTTATATTTTAGAGCTTTACTTGGAAAATCTTACTGTAGTCATTCCAAATATTTTATGATATGAACATTTGAACTAAAATACTGCTTATAACCAAGTAATTATTATAGAGAAATTGTAACATATATTCCCATGAAAGCCAATATGATGCAAAATACTAATTACCGGTGAATTTTTAAAATACCATTTTCCATAAAAAGCTATAGTGGAATTTTATGTTGTGGATACTACTTTCAGAGCTATAATAAAGTACTATTAAACGTTTGGAACAAAGCACATAAGCCTGCATTGGTAAAGTATTGCAAACTGATAGAAACCAGTTTTAAAATATGTTTCTGTATCAAGTTTACAGTAAATCAGATTTTTCTTCACTTTAGGTTCCTTCAATTTTTTCATGCTATGTTGCTCACGAATGGTTTAACTGATGAGTGATTAAAGCTTTTTTTTTTTTTAAAGTAATACATGGAGCATGGCTATTGAAGAAAATTATTAACTTCTGTTTTATAAAAAAGCCTATTGCTTGCATGTTCACTGTAGTTTTGAATGAACAGTGAGTTTGATTTTGGGATAGAGAGCCACTAGATCAGTGATGGCTAAACTTTTCGGCATCAAGTGCCCAAAGTGCGTGCACACATTCCCAAAATGCAACGCATGACCCCCGTGCATGTGCGCACGAGCCCTGTGTATGCACTGCAGAGACCGAACAGCTGGCCATGGGAGGTGCGTACATGCATGGCGGAGCTGAACTGGGGCGATGGCTCGCATGCCCAGAGAGAGAGCTCTGTGTACCACCTCTGGCACACATGCCATTGGTTCACCACCATGGCACTAGATCCAGGGAGGCTTAGTTCTGAGTAAGTATACTTGACAGGGCTTAAGTCCTGTTAAGAGGCCAAAATTTAAGTTTGGCATTAAAAGCAAAAATACTTTAAAATGAAACTACTGCTTTGAGTGAAATGCGGTAGTATCTGTCAGAAGAAGTTGAAATTGATGAAAAATATTTTTCTCTACCCATCTATAAATCTAGAGGTACGCCACAAGTTGAAAATGATATAGAAATTTTTGGAAACACAAACAAAATAGGAAGTCTCTTAATACCTATTGTAATGACATTGGATACTGTAATTTCACACAATATGGACAGATTAGTGTAAAAATTTAAAAAACAAGTTATCAAACATTATCAAACAAAGTTATCTCGGAAACCTATTACGTATGAATTGTATCTATAATATTCTAGGCCCGTGATGGCGAACCTATGGCACACGTGCCGGAAGTGGCACTCAGAGCCACTTCTGCTGGCACATGAGAGGTCTCGCAGAAGAGCCCCAGTCTGCATGCACGCGTGCCACCCGCGAGCTGATTGTTGGGTATCTGGCACACGTGCAGAAGGTGGGGGTGCATGGGAGATGCGTGCATGTGCAGAGACATGGGGTGTGCAGGGGTCTTGCGCAGGGGTGAGATAAGAGGGTTAACTACCGGTTCAGGATTTGCGAGGTTCGGTGATTTACGATGTGCTTCCCTGCACACTGCGTGTAAATCGTCATCAGCACACTGCGTGCAGAGAAGCCGCCTTTGAAACAGCCCTCTTTTTTTCCTGCTTTTTTAACTGCAACTGTGCCTCGCATGGCAGCTGAAGTTGAAAAATCAGGAAATAAAGGTCAGGTAAGAGCCTGGGTGGGCAAAAACATCAGCAGACATAGAACCGGTTCTATGTTTGCTGCTCTTCAGAGCTACCGGTTCTACAGATGTGGACAGAACTGGTAGAAACCCACCCCTGGTCTTGCGCACATGAGCGGTGTGTGCGTGCGCAAGGTGCGTTGGGGGTCGCTTGCAATTGCCTTTATGCACACGCAATTTTTGGCATAGGTGCCCAAAAAGGGCTGTTCTAGGCTAACATCAATTTGGGAAGTTTGTGATTATTTTGGTGTTCATTGTTCAAAAACATTTAAAGCTCCATTGAAAATTTCTTAATGTGACACCTAAGTTGTCTTAAAACCATCTTGTGTGTGGTGTTAATTTTCTGTTATATTAGACAAGCAAAGCATACAAAGGGAGCATATTCCAAAGGAAAGTTGGGCAAACTTTTGGCATTTATTTTGCTACTAGTGCTGTGCCCACTATCCTATGCTGGATACATGTTAGTGAACACACAGAAGTAAACAAGTTAGATAAGGAACTGCAGCAAATGATTTGCTTACTGCAACCTAATTGAAATTGTTTGCATAGTTATCTGAGTATTGATCCGGGATGCTCAACAGAACTCAAAACCTGATTCATGGAGTATTAAAAGCTCTTGGTCAAGGGTAACTGCTTTTGTAAATATGAAATAATTGATACAAGGGCAGCTTGAACGTTAACTTTCTCTGAATTGTTAAAAAAAAGTTTGGAAAATTGTACAAGTCATCCAATCATCAGCTAATAGGCAGGTCATCTATTTTATACCCACATTTGTTTAAATGCATGACAAACACACTTTATACCTAAGCTGCATGTAGAAAATTTTAATTCTGGAGTCAATTTAAGTATCCTGTACATTGATTTTACTGCTTTGTTTTGGAACTTTTACAGAGGTGGGCTGAATTCATTTACAAAGACTCATGGTCATCCAAAAATACATGCAAGTTGTTTTTAAATCAAAATAATTTGAACCACATTTTTAAAAGATGCTGTTCATTTTCATGTTAGAATGTACTACAACAGTATCCCACCTCCCCCCTTTTTTTGGGACAGATAACTGTGACCTACACTTTAAAATTTCAAGAGATCGTTTTAGTGCTTCTTCATTAACTATGGAAAGTTTTGCCTTTCTCTGGGCTGGAGGACGAGCATCCTATGGCGTTTCGAAAGGAAAAGTCTGTTTTGAGATGAAAGTAAGTGAAATGAATAGTGTACCTAATACGGTGGTCATTGACGCTGAAAGTATTTTTGCTGAAACACAACTTGTAAAGGCAAAGAAAATACTTTGTTGGTATCTGATGGTAATATGGATATGTACCAGGCTTAATTAAAAATTAATATAATATAATGTAATATATTCCCTTTGCTTTTAAAGAAAAAGCTAACCAGAAAAGAATTATTGGTTCTTGGGAAGAATGTATATGATTACTATTAAATTCAATATCAGCAGTTTATTAAAATAATTAAAATGTGGACTTCTGTGTTACAAAAATAGCATCATCCATACACAAAAGGAAATGTTCAGGTTTGCAAAAATAGCAAGAAAAAGTCCATGCGAAAAACGGTTTTGTTCAATATACATATAGCATGAAAAGTGGGGAGGAAAGATGGGTGTGTCTGGCTGAAATTCTGAAGAGAAATCCCTGGTGGTATATATTTTTAGCTGTTTGTATTGTCAAAACTAAATTCTATTATTTTCTATGGAATAGGTAACTGAAAAAATTCCTGTTAAACATCTGTATACAAAAGACATTGACATACATGAAGTGAGAGTTGGCTGGTCACTAAACACAAGTGGGATGCTGCTTGGTAAGATGTTTTTTTTTCTGGTTTTTCTGTGGAGTTAAGCTCCTGCCATTAGGAGATGAGAGAGGATAAAGTTCAGTTTTTTAAAAAAAAAACTCAGTTAATGTTTGGAATTAGCTAAATTTGTAATATAAATAAAATGTAATTAAGTGTACATATGAGAGTTGGCCAGTTAGGCACCTTTGGTCCCTCTTCCTCCTCCCATTAGTTAATCATTTTATTCTTGGGTTCTCTTAGTAATGGGAAGATAAAGCGGCTTGTGTGTGATCTGCTATATTTTATATACATGCTAGGGTATACAAAACTTTTGCTCTTAAATTTTTTGGTTGCATTGGTGTTCTTACAAAGTTGAAATATTCAAGGATATGATTTGTTCCTGAAACTAGATTTCATATTCGCAACAAGTCAAAATGAAATGTTTTGTGTTAAGCTTCCCAAGGCAATACAAAACAGTGATTAAAATGTTATAAAAATCAACGTGTTACAAAAAAAGTTTCAAAAAACTCTTTTACTTTTGGAAGTTCTTCTGCATTGGAATATAGAAAGTGTAGCTTCTATGTAGGATAATACAGGAAGGACTCATTCCTCATACATCAAGGAAAAAGAGAGTTACAAGAAATAACTTTTAGAAATATCAGTCATTTTTGTCAAGTTTAGCTCTACTCTCATTTACCTGCTTGACTCCATTTAGGATAATGGGTTTACTGGTAAGTTTGTGAAAAATATTTTTTCAGAGCTTGGCATAGAATGCTAGAGAGAATCACATTGGATAGAAAACAATGTACTTCGTTCCATTGGTTGAGGCATTTTAACACTCCTCCCTGTCAAAAAAAACTAGTTCCTTTTCAATATATAATTTGCTTTGTGCCATTAGTAGTAAGTGTTTGTGTTTTCTACAGTTTGAAAGCCTCATCTGCAATTGTTCATATTTATTAGGTGAGGAGGAATTCTCTTATGGATACTCCTTAAAAGGGATAAAGACATGCAATTGTGAGATTGAAGATTTTGGTGAGAAATTTGATGAAAATGATGTGATCGGATGTTTTGCTGTAAGTTGTCTTTATCTTACAGGGTTGTACATGTTCCATATTTACTGTTGTGTGTTTGTGTAATTTTTAATAACTGGAACAACTAACTGGATAACTTTATTACAGTAATGAAAATTTTCTGGAAAATTTGGGAAAGTTCCCTTTCCTTTAAGCCTTCTGAATCTTCTCTTGTACCATGTCATTCCAGAGACAAGTTTCCACAAATAAATCCTCTGAACTAGAAGTTATTTGGGATGTTCAGGAGATGAATATTAAAAGAATATATTTCATCTGGAACCTCAAGTCTTAATTCCTTCTGTTTGGCGAATTTACTTAATAAGCACGGAACCTCTTTGAAACAGGATAGTCAGGGAGGAGATTTGTATTTTCCAAAGTTAACCAAAACAATCCTAAATAGATCAGAACATTTCTCAGACTCTAATGTTTCTCTAGTTTTGTTGCAGCTTTACTTGACCTTCAGTCTAAAGTTTACTGTTAAATCTTAACTAGTAATCTGTTTAGATTTATGGTTTTTTTCTGATACCTTAAACAACTGAGGAATTGCCACTATGTTAATAAAGTATTTTTTTATTATGGCAGAATTTTGATGGTGATGAGGTGGAACTCTCTTACTCAAAGAATGGGCAGGACCTTGGAATTGCTTTCAAGATCCCTAAAGAAGTTCTTTCTGAACGGCCCATTTTCCCACATGTCCTCTGCCATAACTGTGCAGTGGAATTCAACTTTGGCCAAAAAGATGAGCCTTATTTTCCCATACCAGAGGGGTATACATTCATCCAAAATGTTAATCTGGAAGATAGAGTTAGAGGACCCAAAGGACCAGAACATAAGAAAGAATGTGAAGTAAGTAATAGCTCATTTTTGAACTAATACAAAAGCTTAGTGCTTTCAGAAGGGAGGATTGTTTTCTACCTACTCTGTCTTGCAGTGTTGAAGGCTTATAGCACAAATCAAACATTTGAGTAGATAATGAAGTGTTTTATTTTGAGGCTTTATAATTGATATCATGACTAAATTTTCATTAGGTGGTCATGATGATTGGTTTGCCTGGGGCTGGGAAGACAACATGGGTCACCAAACATTCATCAGATAATCCTGGAAAATACAACATTCTTGGAACAAATACTATTATGGACAAAATGATGGTAAGATATTACTGTACTAATTTATTGCACAATTTTTTATATATAGCAACTTTAGATTGTTGTAAATAATTTGGCAGTGGAATTATAGGTCATTTGTTTGACTAGTCTATCAGTTGTGTGCTTTTCATTGAGGATGTGACATTACTGGAAAGGGCAAGGACAGTTCAAGTGAGTTGGGAATGCACTAAATTGCTCATTTTTATATTTGGAAATTTAGCTGTTAAAAGTGTTTCACATTCTTGACTGAAAGGTAATATTAAAACTATCCTGACTCTTCAGATGAGACAGTTCTTTTTGATATTTATTTGACATTCCAATAATTAGTGTTTCTGATTTGAAAGATTATTGCAAGTGGCTAATCAAGTTGACAGAAAATAAACTGGGATAGCACGTTTAAGATTTGGTATCTTTAATGAAAGGATAAAGTGGCTTTATTTTTGACATTTTAATTTATTAAGATTAAAGTGGATAATAAAGTAAACTTAAAATCAGTAATTATATACATGCTATTTGATTTTTATAGGTTGCAGGTTTTAAGCGGCAAATGGCTGACACTGGAAAACTTAACACACTGCTTCAAAGAGCACCTCAGTGTCTTGGCAAATTTATTGAGATTGCTGCTCGTAAGAAACGGAACTTTATTCTGGATCAGGTATGGGGGCTAGAATTCTTTATGTTACTAATGCAATTAAGCTGCAGTTTAAGGGGCATAGAGTAAAATTCAGTGGGAAATAAGTATTTGATACGTAAAATTGAAATTACAGCAATTGTTTCAAAATACAGTTAAAATCGGGGAAAATGGTTACCCTAGAATCTCAGCCTAACGTGCATAATTTCCTTCTACTTGTAAACTTCATTGCATTATACATATGGAGGTGAAATCTAAGCACACTAATTTAACTTAGCTCTAACAATGACAGCTACGTGTAGTAAGTTACTGCATTTTTTTCAGACAAATGTGTCTGCAGCTGCGCAGAGGAGAAAAATGTGCCTGTTTGCAGGCTTCCAGCGCAAAGCAGTTGTTGTTTGCCCAAAAGATGAAGACTACAAGCAAAGAACACAAAAGAAGGCAGAGGTGGAGGGAAAAGATCTTCCAGAGCATGCAGTGCTCAAAATGAAAGGCATGGAACATAATCTATACTGTGTTCTAGGATGTTGAGTATCTGTTTAAAGAAATAATGTAAAATCTATAAAGATTCAAAATTTCTTGCCTTAAACAATTAATGCCTCTTTAAAAAAACTGGAAGACTTCTGTAACTTTGTTAAGACAACACTATATTGTGTTCCCTCTGCTGCAGTCCTTAACACTATTCAGTCATGATATGCTTCATGCAGATGCACAAAGCTGTCTTGGCATTAAAGTGCCCTAGAAAACGAAGCTGAACATGTTGAGTGGACATGTATTCCCAGTTCAATTTTATAGGGAGAATGTGTCAAGTGTTCAAGAATCTTGCTCTTAGCATCTTGAGTTGAAGATCATCTGTCTTATATTCCTTTTATATAGGAGGGGAACTTTGGCTTATTCTGATGGTTTCAGAAATAAATACTGAATATTGAGGGCTCTCTGTCTTATAGGAAATTTTACTCTACCAGAGGTGTCAGAATGTTTTGATGAAATAATCTACGTAGAGTTGCAAAAAGATGAAGCCCAAAAACTTCTGGAGCAGTACAAAGAAGAAAGCAAGAAGGCCCTTCCTCCAGAAAAAAAGCAGAATACTGGTTCAAAGAAAAGTAATAAAAAGAGTGGTAAAAACCAGTTTAACAGAGGTGGACAGAGAGGACGTGGTGGATTTAACATGCGTGGCAACTTCAGAGGAGGAGGTAGACAGTAGTGCAATTTGTCCTTCTATGTTCCCTATATTGTAGGACTCTTCTTAAATGCCTGAAGAAAAAAAGCTGTGAAGGATTAACAGCTATCTATATCTACTTCCAGAAAGTTCTCAGGCTCAGACACAAGCCAGTACCAGTATTTGTAAAGTAGGATAAAGACTGCTATGCAGCTGTTTACCTTTTGTAAAGAGCGTTTGTCTTGATTCATGATTAATATGAAAGTGACAGGTGGTGGTTGAAAAAGTTGGGACTTGTCATTTCCTTTTGTTACAATGATTCTTAAGGAACTCCATTTGGGGTCCTGTAGATGACATTTGAGGTTTGGATTCTAGTTGCAAAGTTCATGGCAACCTGGGTGTTGGGCAGAAACTAACCAATGAAGAGTAGCAGTTGTTTGTAGTTGTGTGTGCCTTTCTGGGGTAATAGGTGTTTAAAAAAAAAACCACAGACATTGTATGAGTAGCATTTTCCCCCCCACAGTCCCTGGAAATCGTGGCGGCTATAACAGGAGAGGTGGCAATATGCCCCAGCGTGGAGGTGGTGGTGGCAGTGGTGGAGCCATAGGTTATCCATATCCTCGTGGTCCTGTCTTCCCAGTAAGAGGAGGCGGAGGCGGTGGAGGCTATTCAAACAGAGGAAATTATAACAGAGGTGGAATGCCCAACAGAGGAAACTATAACCAGGTAATGTGTTGTTAGAACCAAGAAGATGGTCTCTAGATTTAATTAAAAGTATGTTCTGATAACTAAACTTGGAGCCTGTTGCTGATAGTATGTCTAAAGTTTTAAAATTTTATAACATTTCAGTTACTTTTACTTTGAATCAGTTTTTTTTCTTAACATGCTTTACTCGATTCCAATGATTTCTAATCAAGGAATGATATCCATACTGATTTATTTGTAATGCCGTTTTGTGGGCAGTTGTAATCAAGACTCCAAATGACTAAAGATTATAAAGACATGGACATGTAACATAAATGCGACCATAGAACAGCTGAGCACAAGCCACATTTAGTGATAACACAAGTGTGTAATCAGTTGGTTTCCTAATCCCTACATTTTTTCAAATAACTATTAAGCTAAATGGATCTAGTCCTAAACTGTTACTCGTAGGGTGAGTCAGTTTTTTTTTTAAATAAAATAGTAGATTTTAATCTAGAATTCTGGCAGATTCCAAGTATATTTAGTACAGTATTGCATAGTATAATCACAGCTATTAACCTGAAGAAAGCGTTTAGGTTTGTCTCTAAATGGTTCATGGCTGTTGTGCTTGATGAAAAATAACTTATAAACACATTTTGAAATATACCATAGTGTATTAGGGACATGCTCTTAGTAATAAGTTTGGCATGTTCTTAATAAGACAGAATTTATATCTAGCTGGAGTACAAAAACTTTTTCTTAACTAAAACAACTTAATTGGATTGACAGAGATTAGTGTTCAACAGATAACCCAATTTAACCCATTTCTTTTGCTGTAGAATTTCAGAGGAAGGGGAAACAATCGTGGCTACAAAAATCAATCTCAGGGCTACAACCAGTGGCAGCAGGGTGTAAGTATGCTTCTCGGTTTTAAATGAAACACATTTTTTGTTTGCATATACCTCATTCTCTCTGTTTATAAGACTCATAAGTAAGCCATAAACTTAAATTTGACATAACATTGTGTTCTCTGCTCTTTTTCAGCAATTCTGGGGTCAGAAGCCATGGAGTCAGCATTACCACCAAGGATATTATTGAATTCCCAAATAAAAATGAACTGATCCATATTTCTTCAAAACCTTCACAAGAAATCGACTGTTTTCTTTAGTAGGCTAACTTTTTAAACATTCCACAAGAGGAAGTGCCTGCAGGTTCCTTTTTTAGAAGCTTTGTGGGTTTGGTTTTTTTTCTTTTTGTACATTTTTAATTGCAGTTTTAAAGTGAATCTTAACAGAACCTCAGCATTGTGCACGATGAGCGAATGTGTCAGTATTTCAGGGTTCTTACATTTTATCTGTAAAATGTGATTTTTTTTTTTTTACCACAACAAAAGTAAAATGTTGCTTTGTATCTGGTGTCCTCTGATTAAAGATTTTTTTTCTCCCCCTCCCTCCCTCCCCTCAATTTCTAGGAAACAGTCGTGAGTCATCAAAACAGAATATTTAGCAACCAGGTTATTTTGTGCTCCACCCCCAAAAGATACAATGTAAATAACGTTCATTACACTCCATCTTCCACTCCATCCTCTCTATACAGTTTTTAGATATGGAAGAAGGAAGAAAAATCAAGAGAGTCTTTTGGCAATAAAGAAAGGGATATATATTTTTTAATTTGGCAATGATTTTTGAAGAGGCCAAAACAAACCTTAAAGTTAAATAGTGATGGTGGAGTGCACATCTAACCTGGTTGCATTTGTCTGTAGAGGCTCAACTTGTGAAGGTACACACCATCAACTTTTTCCATTGTTCTGCATTTTGATTCTGAAAAAGCTGGCTCTGCCCATTTCTTATTAAACAAACTTGTTGTAAATCCAGTTGTCTAATGGGATCTATATGAAGTTAGCTGTGTGTCTGTAACCCTTTCCCCACAAATACTGTGTATTTAGTGTGCTTGTAGTAGTATACTCCACCATTTTGTAAACAAATGAAATTGTGATTCACCCATTTTATATCTAATTTTTAATCATGTTAGTTTTCAGATGGGTGTTTCTCCTTAGCCTGCTGATTTACTTTAAAGAAAGTGGGTGGAGAAATTAACTTTAGCCGTTTGTTTGCAATAAAATAAAATCATTTTACTCTTACTCTGGGATTCTCACCACATTGGTCTAAAATCCCTTTAATGAAACAGTTAGGTTCAATGTTTAAAGTACTGATTTCTGAGAAGGTTCAAAATGTATGCTCTCCACATCCTATGATACAGGGGAGAGAACCCTACGCAAATTGTCATTTTAATAGAAAATATGGAAATTTGCCTGTTTATTATTTTTGCAGTTTGAATTCCTGTGTTGCAAGTTACTACATTAAAGCTCATAATGGCTTTCTTATGTCCACTAATAGTGCTTAAACTCCTAACTTCATTACCAGAATTTTGCAGGACTGTGACTGCAGTTTAATATAGATGAAATTAGTTGCAGAGAGGAATTTTTTTTTGAGGGGGGGGAGAGGGGGGTTACAAGTGAATAATGCAGAATTGAGTTTAACAGGAGTAAATGAAAGTGGACATTTGTGCATTTTATCGTGAATTCCATTAAGTTGGCAGTCATGGTTTGCATGTACTATCTTTAGCATTTCTAGTTCTTGGGAAACATCAAGATTTTAATAGCTTTCAGCAAAATACTGATGTTCTTGAAAACAAGTAATAGAATTTATTTTGATTGAAAAAATTGTTTCCCAAAATGCACTTGGCCTTAATAAATTTTAGGCACGCTTGAGAATCATTTCTCCCTAATTCATTTGTTGTATTTTGTGCCTTTCCCTTCTATTCCTTTCCCCTTCGTATTTGGGCTAAGAAAGGTTTTGGGATGCTTTGGATGGATTTTTGGGAGCTTAGTGCATGCATTCTGTTCAGAATTAGCATTATTCCTACAATATTTACTAACCTGAACAAATTATTCCTAGATTTGCTTTTCTAGGAAACTACTCTATGAAGCAATCTGCATTCATTAGGGTACACAATGACATGATATCAAAATTGGTTTTCTGTAAAGAAAGCTTTTTTGCGAAGGGATGTGTTTGGCCTTAAAAAAAGTCCCTTTGGGAAAGTAGAAAACATTTGGGACATTAGTTTAAGTTTGGGGGCAGCTATTTTATGAGTGTACATAATTTCACAATTCTCTTGGCTTTGGTTCAAGAAGCAGGTGGCAACATGAACACGTGGATCTTTGCACACATCCACTTTGTGTAGCAGTTGGTCCTATTTCCAGATCAAGAGATGTATTTAGTTGCTTCCTAATTGGATTATTACAATGCATTCTCTTGGCATACACTTGAAAAACATTCAAAAACCAGATAGTCAAGAAAGTAGCAGTGCAGACTTTATGCCACTGTAATTGCTTCCAACAAGTTTCTGAATGCAATGCTGGTTGTCACCTTTAAACCCTACATAGCACAAAGCCAAACAACTGAGGAACTGTCTTATCACTAGTGGTTTCTGCCTGTTCTACCAGATCTGGCAGCATACATATATTCCATGTCTCTTCTGTGAAACAGTATTTCCTTGGGGACCTAAAAGGCATACTGCCTTTGTTGGAAGTCTTCCTTGTGGAAAAGACTCCTGCTGAATTTTGGATGGTCCAATTTTCTTGGCTTCCCAGAAGAAGGGGGGAAAAACTGCTGCTTTCAGGCTTTAGGGCCAAGATGCTAGCAAGTCCCTCTTAGTATTTTGTTGCGTGTTTTAGTTTTGGTGCAGATATATATATATTTTACCAGTCATTTATTTTTTATACATGTTAACTCTTTTATACTTCGTTAGCTAGTTACTTCAGATAGGCGGCCATATAATTTTTCAAAATAAGGAACAAATGTGTTATAGGTCAGCGATCCCCAACCAGGGACACTTTTTGACATCAGGGATCAGTTTCATGGAAGATAATTTTTACACAGCGTGGGAGGGATGGTTTTGCTTGCTCAACCACTGCTCACCTTCAGTTGTGCAGTCACATTCCTAATAGGTCACAGACTAAAATTCAAAATGTAGAACATAAGTACTGTTCTATCAGTTCACAACTTTGGCTGAAAATGGAATTAACGAATTACTTTTTCTCTAGGTTCCCCAAAACTTGTGTTTTTAACAAAACAGACCAGGCTCCTCAGAATGTCCTGGAGTGTTTCATGCCGTGTTCTAGTGCGATAGAAGAGTTAAGGTCAATTGGGGCTGGGAAGTCCATGTTTTTAAGTCCCATTCTCAGCCAAAAAGCTTGTTGCATGACTTTGGACCAATAACTTGACCAAAATGCAAGAATGCAAGCTGCTGCATAAAATCACCTATTATAATTATTGACGATGCGAATTTGACACCCCTGACTTAGGCAAAGAGCTTCTTCTAGATAATTACATAATTTCTCAGTACACTTGGACAGACTTCTTTGGGAAAAGGTACTGCATTAAAAACATACATGTATTAATATACTGTGTTCTTTACAAATACTTTGTACACCAATATGCAATTAAATGAACATACTGAGTTTTTCTATTAGGTATACATTTTTTTCAATTAAAATCAGGGAAAGGATATTTGCTTTTTTAGTAAACTATTCTACAAGATCAGTAGGTCATTAAGAGATCAGTAACAATATATTCTAGTACATTTTGGTAAAACGTTTTTTCAACTATTTGGATCCTTTATCACAATTTTTAAAAAATGATATGTACATAACAAGCTATGCATGCATACATACACCAGCTTGATGCAAATCCTGTACTAATTATGACTGAAGGAATTGGCTGGAATAAGATCATCCAGCTACATCATCTGGTTCTCATCAATGGAAATGTTTTCCCCCCAAAAACCCTTAATCAGATCATTCATAGCGAGTGACCAAAACGGATTCTTACCGAATAGACAAATTAAAAATAATACCAGAATAGTATTGAATATAATAGAATATTATGAAGCAAATCCAGGAAAACAATTGGCAATGGTCTTCGATGTGCAAAAGGCATTTAATTGGCAGTTCATAATACAATTAAAAAGCATGCAATTTGGCAATAAATTTATTAAATTGATTTCGCCAATTTATACGATGTAGACGGCCAGTGTAATAATGAACGGTGACAGAATGGAAATATTTAAGATCAACAAGGGAGTAAGGCAGGGATGCCCACTGTCACCCCTTCTCTTTATTCTTACCTTAGAAAACTTATTGGAAAACATTAGGAAAAATGTAGAAATCAAAGGGGCTTTAATTAAAAAGGAGCATTATAAGGTACAGGCATTTGCAGATGATACAGTATTTTTTTTGGAAGATCCAGAGGATACGGGAGTAATATTAATAAAGGAAATGGCAAGGTCGCAGGCCTTAAGATTAATAAAAACAAAACAAAATTATTGACTAAAAATTTAAAATGTAAGCAAAAAAAAATTAGAAGGAAAATTGGAATGCAAAGTGTGAAAAAGGTAAAATATTTAGGCATTTGGTTAACAGCAAGATGCTCTTCAATCAAAAAAGATAACTGACAATAATACAAATCAAAAAAGAATTGGAAATGTGGGGGAAATTACAGCTATCACTATTGAGGAAAATTGCGGCAATTAAAATGCCTACCCTACCAAAAATGCTATATCTTTTTTCAAACTACCAATAAGATTGGATAAAACCTTTTTAGAGAATTAGATCAAATAATTTGTTTGGGATGGGGAAAAAAGCTAGGATAAAAATGAAATTGTTACAGGACAAAAGAGAAAGGGGTGGCTTTGGACTCCCTGACTGGGAAATGTATTATCAGGCTGCGGCTATGGTATGGATTAAAGATTGGATCAACCTGGAAAATAGAAGAGTATTGTTGATAGAGGGTCATGACTTGCAGAGAGGGTGGCATAGTTTCCTATGGGATGGGAAATGTAAACAGCATGCATATTTTCAGAGACACATGATTAGAGATTTATTAATTCGGACATGGAACAAGATTAAAAAGAATCATTATACTAAAATACCGAACTGGCTGTCAACTATGGAAGCACAAATCTACCCAAATGATCTGGGAAAAAAGAGGAATTACAAAGACCTATTAGACACACAAGGAAGATTAAAAATGAGACAAGAATTACAGCAACAAAATATAAAGATAGATTGGTGGCCATACATACAAATTCAGGCGAGATATCAGAAGGACAAAGAACAATTTGGTTTCTGCTTGGAAAAGCATCAATTAGATAAAATTCTACAAGAAATGGAAAAGAAAATGATTTCAAGAATATATAACTTTCTGCTAGATTTTAAAATGGAAGAGGCGGTCAAAGAGACGATGGTGGTATAGGCAGAAAATGTTGGCCACAATAGACCTGGAAAATTGGGAGAGAATGTGGGGATCAAATTACAAACTAATTACATCCACAGCATACAAGGAAAATCAATACAAAATGTTCTACAGATGGCACCTTCCTCCTGGCTAGATTGGCAAAAATGTTTAACTCAGACCCAAATTGTTGGAAATGTGGCAAAGAAAAAGGCACTTATTTTCATACCTGGTGGACATGCCAGGAAGTGAAAAAATATTGGAATACAATTAAACAATGGATAGAAGAAATCACAAATCAGAAAATTGAATTTAATCCGGAAACTTTTTTATTAGGTATAATAACACAAAAATGAAACAAAACAGATAGATATATTATGTTACATATATTAACAGCTGCAAGGATTTCGTACGCACAACTCTGGAAGGAAAAAAGGGTTCCACCGGAAGGCATGGTTATAAAAAAAAAAAAGATTGTATAGAAATGGACAGTGAAAATAAAAGACAGAGAAGATTCAATTATAGGGCCTAGGATGCCTGGTATGAGTGGTTTAGAAATAAAAAGAAAATAAAATGGCAATTAGGAAAAGAATGAGGGAATATGTAAATATACCATGGAGAAGATTGAGATGTAAGGATGTTGTCTCGATGTTGATAACAATGTATAAAGTTTTATGTTTTTAAAATTTGGAAACTTAATAAAATTTATTTTTTTAAAAAGGAAATGTTTCCAAAACAAAAACAAAAACATGCGCATTGCTATATATAAATCAAACAACAATTCTTAAAAACTAAAGGCCTTAGGCACAGATGAAAAATTCTGAAAACAGAAAAAACTGAAATATAGAATAGTAATCCAATCTACAGATTACATAGATTACAAAAATCTATGGCTAACATTAGAATCCGATAAAGTATTGCATGATAATCAAAAATTCTAGCATTCGAAATATATTTGTAGTGTGAGTTCAGGCAAACAGCTATTTGATTTCCTATTAAAATAGGTAATGAGAACAGCAGGAAAATTGTGTTCTGAGGTGGTAGCTGAGAGAAACTTAAAAAGACTGCTGTACTTCATTAAGATCAAAGTAACCATAACTATCCTTTAATTTTAGCCAATGGATAAAGCTTTCATGTACTGTATTTTTAATTAATCAGAAAAATTGCTGGAATGTGCCACTTTGGAAAAAAGATTTCTGCCATGCTCTCAAAGCAGCATATTTTATATACATTTATATACAAATCAGTGATAAAATGAAAATAAAAAAACTGAATTTTACACAAGAAACATTTTATCAAATTATAGTAAAGTTCATACTGTACACGTAATCAGTACAAAATACTTTAATGACACTGTCAAAACTAATGACTTTTTTCATGATTTGTTACTTTCCTTGTGGGATCAAACTCAGTGCCTTCAAACAGTATCTTGTTTCTTATCGCTTCTTGAACCATGCGTTGTTGAAACCTTAGTTTTGCATTGTTGTATCTACAATAGAACCTTTTAAAAAACACATGATCACTTGCATTATTATTTATATTTTGTTTGCTTTATTGCAATTAAAAAACTAAGAAGAAAAGCATGATCTCTTTTTCAGAAAATATAATTTTAGCTGTTGTCAGACTGACATACACAAAACTTAAAGAACACATGCTACATAATATTTTTCTCTTATCCTTTATGCAAAAATATTTTGTTATTCATATATACAGTATTTATTTTCTGTCAGTCCAAAAATGTCCGACTTCCACCAGTACTTGCCATGGAAGCTATTTCAAACGCCTTCCCCATTACTCCTACACAAAAAAATCAACAGACATGCCTACTCTTTTTCATTGCAATAGCCTTTTTTAAAGAATAGCAACTAGTTGGAAATTTTAAAAGGCTACATAGTTAACAAAAAATTGTATGGTTGCCAATCAAAAAACAAAACTGCATGGCTCACAATAAACAATTTTGGAATCATAATTTCATGCCAATAATGAAATCAACTAAGTTCTATATGGAAATTATGGAAGAAAATTTGGTCATTGTTGCCAATGAGACCAACTTGGTATAAATTCAGATTGATACATGGAAAGTACAGCTCTTCCAGGTAAAAAGGAAATCTTACTACAAATGTTAATTAGCAAATAAGTACTATGTGCAATTACTAAGTGTCGAAAAAACATACATGATTAGAGCATGATCAATCTTAAAAGAGTAAGCTATCATGTTTGAATCATACCCACCAGCATCCTAATGTCGTCACAAAGAAACCTCCTACTCCCAAGTTATAGGATCGTCTCACTCTGCCTGATGATGAGAAAAGAGCTATCTTACTCATATGAGCATGTATTGATAAGGCAGCAATAACAAATATAGGAAATCAACAGTAAAACATAATCCAAAATAAAGTTATTTCTGAAGTTTAAGGTAACGATCATTGTTGGAATAGTTATTTTAGTTGAATGGGATTTAGTGAAACTGCATTAAACCTGAGATCATCACTGCAGAACAGTTATTTGGAAAGCACAAAGAGCATATTAAATTGATAAAGGAGGAACAGGAGAAATATGCAAATTATTGAAATAAGAATGTCTAGTTAATGACTGCAACAGACTGGCTAATCACTGAATTATTCTTAGTATTAATTTGATCGCTGAATTATTATTTTACTATTAATTTTAACATTTAGAAGTTTAAAATTTCAAAGCTTAGGGATTGTTGACAATATGCATTTTTTCCCTAGAAGGAATGCAGAGTAACAGAAGCAAGCACTACTTTGAAAGATGCGTCAACTCTGTTTATTAAAATGGTGCGTAGATGGCATATGGTAATCTGTGAGAAATTACGATGAGAAAATGGAAAAATAAAACTTTACACACAATCTCATATAATTATATGTTAACAGGTCTTTATTTTTTACTTACTAGTTGCCAAAAAGTGTCCAAGCCCTACACCTAGACCACCCAATATTCCATAAAGAAATGATTGTCGAGCACAAGGAATTTTATGGATTTCCAGCATTTCCTGCAGAAAGGGCTGAAAAGAAATTAAACACCTTATCGTTAAGATATACTTGGGAATCACTGAATGTAATTTTAAAATGAACAAGAACAACTTCTCTGAATAATAATTTAAGATCCAATTTCTGTTATAGTTAAGCATAACTGAGAAATTTGATGAAAACAGCTTTTCCACTGACCCACAAAGACAGGAAAAACTGAACAGTAAAGTCTATTGCAACAAATGAAACTCATTCATTGTATGTTACTTCTAGTAGATTTTTCAGAGATTAAAAGTTAGTCTTCCTTTGATTCTATGATTTACAAGTAGTCTCTGATGGCATTAAGTAGATCATGAGCTGGATAGCTCTAATATTATTTTCCTGGTGGATAAGTTGCAGAAAGTGATGCTAGGAGATTGGTCATATTAACAGTCATCAGTATCAAATTTATATATTTAAGGTATAAATTATTCAAATGAATATACTTGGAGATTTGAGGTATAGTGTAATAAATTATTGGTAACATCAAATTTGCTAGTACAACTTAAATAAAGCCATCTGCATTATGAATTAGTTTCTGAACAAAAGGTCATGGACTTCACAGTTTTAGGAATGGATCAGTAAGCGCTTCATAACTGAGTTGTATTCTTGTTAAGATTTGGGAAAGAAGATTTAGAACTTATTTCAGTTTTCATACATTTCCTACCTCAATGTGGCCATATAGTCAAACCACAATGCCAATTTTTGGCAATCCTATCATTGATATTCAGTGATAGTTATAGAGAGCCAAACAGTGGGGCCAAGAACTGTATTTTGGAATGCATGGAATAAATGAAGGAAAATGGACACAAGGGAAGAAGATATGGAAACTGTTAGGAAGACAAAAATTGTATTACACATTGCCACAGAAGAAGGCAAAGTTACACTAACAGGAAGCATTAAAAACATTGGGTCAAGGATGAAGAGAGAAGATGAATGTGCTTATGTCAAGATAATTTTATTATAGGTTGAAAAATGGATGGAGAAAACTAAAATGTGCAAATACTGGTAGAAAAATTAGTAATCGTATGAAGTCTACATTAAGGAATAAACATCTGTTGATAGAAACAAAAATGGCTGTATATAAGAGTGCTTTTCCCCATTTTGTTATATGGAATTGAGAGTTGAATGTGTCGGGGAAAACATAAAATGAAAGCAGTTAGATAGGGTAGAGTCTATAACATGTATATAACTGGAAGCTGGTCAGAAAAAAATACAACCAGGAAATAAGGAGTGAGAATGATTAGTCAATGGAACAGTTGTGAACTGGAGTTGTGAGTGCTCCATTACTGGTGGTTTTCAAGAAAATACTGGACAACCATTTGTCTGGGATGGAATAAGGACTCCTCCCTTGGCTGGGGTGTGGGTTGGGCTAGAATAACTCTAATGTCCCTTTCAGCCCTGTGATTCTTTACTTAAAAACTGTATAGTAAAACAAAAACAGCTATGAATATGAGCTGAATATAAAAGTAAATATGCTGTGGAGGTTTGATTGTACAAAAGAATGGATGAGTATTGAATTACAAATGTATGATATGTATTTGTGCATGCAAAGGCTTGACAAGAATGGGAAGGTGGAGGAAGTCATGGTCCTATGGAATTAATAAGATCTGCAAAAAAAAAAAAAAAAAGGCCAAAAATTTTCAGAACTTTTTCAGGCCACACAAGAAATGGAATATGGAAAAAATGGAATATGGTGGAAAAAACAATTATTTGCCAGGATGGAAAATATGGATTTAGTGAATGGTGTTCAGATATCACAATTGTAATCAAACTTTGGAATTTGCTACTATAAGATACGAAAGCTGACTTCCAGTTTGCCTAGCTTCAAAAACGGTTTGACCAATACATGGAAGTCAGACAATCATGGCTGTTGGCACATGATGGATACTATACTTGTCTTTGAAAGTTATCTGCTGGGAAACTAATGGGGTTTCTTTTTGCTGTCAGTTGGCCACTGTGAGAAGAGACTACTGGACTAGATTGGCCAAGGATCCAATCCACCTTGGCACTACTTATGTTTTTATAATAAATAAGATGTAACTACATTTTTTTGTATCTCCTGACTTCTTCGCTTGTCATTCCCTTTCTATACTTAGCATAAAATTTCTTACTCTGAACAGAATGTTGTTTTAGGTATGTGTGTTGTCTTTATTTAGCACTCCTGTATGGATATGCCTGTAATACACTGTCACCATACAAATAGACACATTTACACATTTTAAAATATACATATGCTGTATTAAGGATGATCCTTTCCCAAGAGGGTAAACGCCTGATACTATGTAACAGCTGTTAAGAAGTTAAATTACCAGAATGCTGAGGATATTGTATTTTATAAAAACTCTTTTCATAACAATTGTTTGTTCTTTGGAAAAATATCAAATACATGTGGACATTTTTTTAACACCAGAACAATAATTGGGATCATATACTACCAACCCCACCCCAATATGTTGTTACTACTACACTTTGTATGTCTGTATCAACAAATACAAATAATAATAGACTTATCATTCTTTCTTTTTTGCTTTTTCCTACTGGTAGCCAAAACCCCTTTAAAATAATGCAGCAGGGATTGTGGCTGTTATTTTGAAATAGGGTCGCTTGGGTGCAATAGTATTTCCAGAAGTAACTGTCACCATCCCAGCGTGGAAGGAAAAAAAGGAGCTTGGTGTTTTAAAGAGATTAAAATTAAATCCAGGTCTCCTACATTTAGCTGTCAAAAGGAGAAGACCAGAGGTCACCGGAACTTTCGTGTTCAGAACTACTGTGTATCTCTGGAGGGAGAAAAAAAGATTCGCTTAGCCTGGACTGCTTGAGAAAGTGCTATTCATGGTTCGAAAGGCGGTAACGTTTCGACCAACCGAGCCCTTCGGGGTGATTTTGAAGCAATTCGGCGAATTCGGCAATTTTCTTTAAAGAAGCTTTCACCTCCATTACCTTCTTAGAAACCTTAGTCTCTTCCTCCGTCGCCATCATCAGACAAGTACCGGATCTTTTTCCCGCAGTCCAGGCTCAGAACTACGACCAGCGAGTCAGAATGCCGCGATAGGCAGAGAGGCCTTATGCTTTAAAAAAAAAAAAAAGCCGCTCTTCCC